ATACTGCCATCTTTTTTTTTGGTTTCTTATTAAAAAAGAAAAAAAAATTTAAAAACTAAAATACACAAAAATATATTTTGGGGCTGGCAGTGAAAAATAGTTCATAGGGAAAAAGCCCTTTGGAAAGGGGGAAAATTTTGGTTTTTTATAAAAAAAAAAAAAACTATTAATTCAAGCGATATTAAAACCAGGGGAGTTCCCAATTGATCCACAATTATTGAGTATTTCACTGTGGATTTGTAAAAACTTTTTATAAATTTTATTTCATGAAACATTGTTTGTCTTTTTTTACTTAATATTGGATGCTTACAATAATGGTGTCATTTTAAGTAAAATATTTTGCCAATTTTTAAAAGTTTTAAAAATACAAAAGATCTATTTAGGGCAATTTTTTTTGGGCAAGCATGATGTTCCCCTATACAAAAATTAAATCTGGAGGGGGTTCTGGGGAATCAAATTTCCCCCACGGCCCCTCCCCTGACCAGGCTTTGGTTTTTTGGATATTGTTTAACTTTTTTAAAGGGAAAATGATCAGTAAACACATTTCAATTTAAATTTTTTAGTACTTTAAAAAAAAAGATTAATTTTTTGCAGGTAAAGGGGGCCCCGACCCAGGCTAAAAATTAGTACTGGGGTTTTTTCAACCAGGTTTCCATGACCATCCTTAAAAAAAAAAGACAAACTACCAGGAAAGTAAGTGCCTTTCCAGTGGTCACAAATTTTATGTGAGAGTAAATTTTTATTTGGGGCTTTTTTTTTGGTTACAGTTAAATATGGTATTTTTTTTGTTTGGTTTCACTGAAATTTTTTTTTCCCTACGCTTTTTTGGGTTTTAGTTGTAACGTTTTTACTGTTTATTGTTTGTGTTTTTGTCAAGGTGGGGAGTGGTTTTGATGTCCCTGGGTGCCTTCTCTTCTTTTGTCCCTTTTTAGAGAAACTTTGAGCCCTTTAGTTTGAATACATGCTCTTTGGGGAGCCAAAAACTTGGGAAATTTTGGGAACTGGCAGAAGGAAAAGACAACCCCTGAGGTGGTGCCTTTATGCCAATTTAAAAAGGGTTGTGATCTAAAAATTGGGGGGTAAACCTTTTTGTTTTTTTTTTTTTTTTTTATTACACACCGGGCCCATTCCCACCAAGGGGGGTGGCCCCAAAAAAAAAACTTTCACCATATTTACTTTCCCTCACTTTTCTTGCCAGAAGGGGGGCTTTACCCCTTTAGTTTTTTAAAAATGAAAAATTAACCCCCCTCCTTTTAGAGTGCAGGCACTGTAAATTCCCATTCCCAAAATCAAGGGCCCGGGCCGCCGGTTTTTCCCCCAAACCCTTTAAAATGTTTTCTTTGTCACACTCCAACAGCACGCAAGTATTAAAAACCATTTGTCCATTTACTCCAAACCCAAAACGCTCACGGGATGCCCGCTGGAAGTCAAAACCCCTCGCACAAAAAAACCTCCCTTTAAACCCCCTCCCCCCAAACCCCTTTCCTTTGGCCGACCCCTAAACCCCCCCTTCCTTCCAATACAGACTGGTTTTTCACCTTTTAAAATCATTCTGTTTGCTCCTTCTCTCTACATGCCCGAACCACCTCAAAAAACCCTTCCTCAGCCCCCTGGACAACAGTTTTGGTAAACCCCCCCCCCCTCCTCCTAACTTCCAAACTAAAGAATTTCTGCATTTAAATTTACCCACACATTGCCCCCAGAATGACATCTCCAAATAAATTCCCCCCTATTTTAAAAAACACTGTATGACCCTTATAGGTTTTGGGGCTTCCCCTTTTGTATAATGGTTTTTTTTTGTTTCTTTTAAAATTTAAGAGGTTTAGTTTAATTTTTTTTGTTGTTTTTTTTAGTATACATTTTAGCAAACTTGTTAATTTGAAGTTTTTATCTCCTTTGGGGGGTGTATAATCCCCCCCCCCGCAGCCTTCCCGAAGATGACCTCCCGCTCAAACCCGGAAAAAAAAGGCATCACTTCACTATCAAGAAATAAATACCAAGAGTTTTTGTTTAAAATTTCAATAAGGGACCAAATTTCACAGTTCTGATTTAGATTTTGGAATGGAGACATTAAAACCTTTTTTATATGGGAAAGGGTTCAAATTTTTTTAATTTTTAAAAACAGAGTATTTTTTTTAGTATGTTTCCCCTGCTTATGATATTTCCCTATCTGTAATGTACTTATTGTAGCTGTGGGTTTTGTTGAATTTTAAAAATTATATATACACTTGGGGTTTTTAATTTTTATATAATGCTTGTTAGTGAAGGAAACATACCATTATATATTGGGGAAATTTTTTTAGTTTAAAAAAAATGGAATTAGATAAAAAAACTTCATTTGGTTTTAGTATTTAAATGGGTTATCAAAAAATAAGGGACTTTGTTTTCCAAAAAACTTTCTTGGGAACAATTGCGCATTAAACATTTTGGGGTCCCACTGTATTTTATGGTTTTTACTTTGTGAAAAATTAACCCCTTAAAAGGTCCCAAAAAATTTTAAAACCCTTTAGCGGTTTGCGGGCCCCAAAGTATATATACGTTTTTCTTTTGTATTCAAATTTAGCATTGGGCCCCAATAAGGGCCTTTTATCACCCAGAAAATGAAAAGAATGGGTTGTGCGCACTCACTTTGGGGCCATATTAAAATAATTTGGGGGTGCCCTGGGTACCCTATGCTCCCTTTTTTCCCCCAAAAAAATTTGGGGGGGCTTTTCGCAAGTGGGAAAGTATATATTCGGTTTGACCGTTTAAGGGTTTTAAAGGGCAAAATTTAAAAAAAAAATTCTTAAACTTGATTTTCTGTTGAAATATTTCAGAACTACAATTTCAAAATCAAAATACAAAAAATTTTTTTTTTACTGTGCCAATATACCATAGTAAAAAAAAAAATTTGTTCCAGCTTTTGCAAGTTTAAATTAAAAATTAAGTTTTTTTTCAGATTTCCTTACTTTTTGAAAGACGTGAAGCAAAAAACCAAAGACATATGGTAAAACATTTTGGTCCGAGCCCTTTACATTCTTCAGTGTATGGTGATTTTTTTTTTTTTTAGAATTATTTTTGTGTTCCCGGACATGACAATAGTTTCCCCTGGCAAAGGTTAAAATATAGTTGTTAAAATCAACTGGTGATGGGAACCCCCCAAAAGGGGACCCTTTTTAAATTTAAAATGTCTGCTGGGTACTGGATTCCAATACACCCCAAGCTGTCCTTAAAAAGGGAGATGGTTTGGCCCTAGTCATTACCGGGCCAACCCTTTGGTTTTTTCGTCGGTTTGCATGTGAGCCCTAAAAAAAAAAAAAACCCGGGGTTTATCATGCCCTGGAAACCCCTGCGAGGGCCCGGTCATGGACCGGGGCCCCTGGGGGCATTGACCCCCCGAAACCCCCCCGGTTTTTTGGGAAGGGATAAATTTTTTGATACCTTTGGGCTCTGAGGGAAACCCTTTTTTTTAAATAAAAACCAAAACCCAATTTACATAAAAATTTATTAATCATACATTACACTGTATAAAAATTATTACAATGCACCAATTAGATTTATGTAGCTAGGGGTTTTTTTTTTTTTATTAAAGGATTTTTAAAAAAAGGTTTGTTATTAAAAAATGTTATGTCATGAATAAAATATGAAGGTGGGGGATTTGATCAGTTGGGTTGTGATTCCGCAAAAATGTACTCTAACCGGGGGTCAGATCCCGTAAAAAAAGGGCACAAACTTGTAATCAAACCCTTTTTTTTTCCTTGAAAAGGGGAAATGTTCCCGAAAACGGGCTAAACCCTTCGCATTTGTTTTGGTATAAAAAAATAATTTGTGATAACACAAGTTTTTCCCTTTTCTTTAAAAGAGTGTCTGGCTAATTTGTTTTATTCACAGGAGATGTGAATTCTGTGGAAGCAGTAGTTACCCTTTGGATGATACCTCGGTTGTAAGTTGAATTTTGCTGTTAGTGAATTTATGAAAAAATCTATTTTTAATAATTCCTTCCTGAGTGATAATTGTATCCTATATATTTTATTGTTTTAAGCTTTATTTATGGAAAGTCAATTGCTCTTATGAACTATAGTTAAAATGTTGTTTATAGCAACTTCCATCAGTTTTGCATAAGTTTGAATGAAATTCTTTTACCATATTTAATTATTACTACCTTCTAGTGTATTATCATAAAAGGGTTAGCTAGTCTCGAGTCCTGGAGGTGGGAAGGCAGTGCCTACACTCGAAGGAGATGTTAGAGAGTAATCTGAATTGTGATGTCAGCACACTTATGGCAAGACGGATTGAATGAATGATGGTGAATGCTTTTTCCTTTGGGTCACCTTGCTGTGGTGGGAGATGGCCAATGAGGTAAAATAAAATGCACTAGCTTCATCTTGTTAAGTGAATCTTTATTCATTGTATTGTATTCTGGCAGGGCAGTGCTAGTATCAACTACACAACACTGGAGTGTGCTGTCCTAGGATTGATACACAGCAAGGACCTGAAGAAGCTGCGTCAGGAGCTATACACCACTCCTCTGCCTAAACCTGCTTACAAACCTGAACCACGGTAGGGAAAAACCTTTAGCTGTTATTATAAACCTTTTGGTAGATTCTACATAAAATAGAGAAAATTAAGACTTCATTTTTATGCATTATTGTGATAGTGCTTCATATGCCAAATAGGGACTGCAACAGGAGCAACAGAAAAATCAGCAAAATGGAGATAATTTATTTGTTAGTGATGTAAACCAGTTACCTCACTGTATTGTTTTATGCTCATTGGGATTTTTGTTATAACATTAATGACCTTGTTTCATCAAGGCAGGGTAACCCAAAGAAAACTCCCTTCCTAGTAAGAGAAGCATGTGTTTATTTCTGCTTTAGCACCTTGGTCATATAAAAAATATAGCCTCATTTTGCTGTATTTTAAAAAAATGGGAAAATTTTATTATCACAGTTGACCCCCAAAACTCTCTCCAGGTAAACTCCAGGTAAACAGTTGTATGTAATGACAATTATTTGTTTCAGAGGAAAGTTGTTCTACAGTAATGAGGCTGAGCGCTGGTGTCTTCCCAACTTGGCATCTGATCGCTCTGTTGTGGTGCGCTCGCAGCGTCTGCACTATGAACTGGAGAAGAGACGACCTGCTCAAATAAATGTCTATTTTGGCACATCATCATTAGGAACTGCCATAGGTGGCATATTTTTTGGAATTTTCTTCTACTTCATGACATCATTTGTGTTCACCAGAAATCTGCTGTTGAAGGTAATTTATACATGGGGCATGTGTTCGTGATAGCATTCATTCTGCACATGGACAAAACTGGAGAGAACATTGCTTATGGCTCTACTGAATATAGTTTCAAATTCTTGTAATTGTTACAACTGCATGCAATCAATCCACATTTGTTTTTCCAGTATCCAGAGCTTTTCACATTTGGTCTATTCACTCGAAAGGGCCCAAAACGCTCTGATTTGTCCGGTTTGAAATTCTGTGTGACCTTGACTGGGAAAGGTTGGGATAAGAAGTTGGAAGACCCCGATGAACAGTACACACAGCCACCCAATATTACCAAAGTAGTTCAGGTATGTGCTGCAATGCTTTCTTTTTATTTACATTTGTCATTTTTTTTATTGTGGAAGAATTCTTGTTTATGAATTACACAAATAATACCTCATCTTCCACTGTCTTCTACATGTGCTGTATTTTCTGGCATATGAGATGCACTTCGAAAATCACCCTATGCTTTATGTATTCAAGGTCAGGGTCAAGGGTAAGCTTTGGGTTACTGACAAGTGGTTTTATAAAAGGACATGCAGTTCATTATAGTAATAAAGATGCAATACTCATAATGCTCGTGCATGCGACTTACAAGCCAGAAAATGCAGTAATTCAGTAAGGCGAAGGAACTTGTTACCTCTGTATATAATTTTGCCACTTTATTCCATTTATCACTTATTGAGTTGAAAAGCCACTGGTTGCTGAAATGTTTTCAAAATGAAGATACTGAGGTGAGGTATATTGCGTCAGATCTAACTAATCGACCTGTTTATGAATTGTTCTCAGAATCTATATAATTTGACTACAGGAGACCCTCAGTTTAACTAATGGGGGTAGTGGGTGACTGGTAATGGTGATTTTGATTCTGGTAATGTGCAGTAAAATAAAGATTGGATGTGAAAAGTGGGTTATAATAAGCGTGTATGCACCTGGAGAAGAGAGAAGTGTAGAGGAGAGAGAGAGATTTTGGGAAATGTTGAGTGAATGCGTGGGGAGTTTTGAATCAAGTGTGAGAGTAATGGTGGCTGGGGATTTCAATGCTAAAGTGGGTAAAAATGTTATGGAGGGAGTAGTAGATAAATTTGGGGTGCCAGGTGTAAATGTAAATGGGGAGCCTTTAACCCTTTCAGGGTCCGTCCCGTAGATCTACGGCTTTACGGTGAGTGTCCAAACCGTAGATCTATGCCATGAGCTCAGCTCTCACTGATAAACTGTGAGTGGTACATTTGGGCCTAGATATGAGAGAATGCATCTATGTGGTATGTGTGCACCACATAAAACAGATCCTGCAGCACACTGTGTATAATGAGAGAAAAAAACTGAAATCATGATTTTTTGATTAAAACAGCGACTTTGCAGTGTTTTTTCGTATGTTTTTTATAGTTGTATTTGCGATTTCTTGGTCTCATTTGATAGATGGAGACATATTACAGAAATAGAGATGATTTTGATTGGTTTTAGCACTGGAAATGGCTTGAAACTGAGCTCAAAGCAGCGGAAATGTTAAATTTTTGCCGATATTCAAGAGTAAACAAACGACCTCACACATCTAATACACGTCAGCTGGTGGGTCTAATATACATTTACAAATATGGTGATGATATTTATACAATTATTACAGTATTGCATAACAGTAAATCTTCTATTTTTTGGTTGTGAATAAAAATTCATTATGTGAATAAAAAATCAAAATGGAATTTATTTGTAAAGCCTCAAAATGTAACTAATGAACAGAGGAAATGTTAGTTTAGTTCCAGGAATACCTACATTGTTTATTCTGGAGCCTATTTTGAAATTTGAATATTTTGAACTTTGTGTTAAATTGGCCAAATTAACAATTTCCGATCACTTTATTTTGTAGTTGAAACAGTTGACTTGGCGGATTTCTTGTGCCTCAATCGATAGATTAGAAGTAATACTAGTGAAAATAGCTAAGAATTTGGTTGATTGGAATAATGTAATTGGCCTAAAATGGGAGTCAAAATCGGCAAAATCGCGATTCGTATAAATATCGCTGACACATCAAAATTCGCGAGAGCATAATTTCGTCAATTTTCCACCAAATTTTGTACTTTTTGTTTTATTACCTTCACAAAAAGATTCTCTACGATTTCATAAGAAAAAATAACAATTTTTTTTTTTTAAAATTCTTGGACACTGGTGCGTGACTTCAGATTTTGGCCTTGGACCCTGAAAGGGTTAATTGAGCTATGTGTAGAAAGAGATTTGGTAATAAGTAATACATATTTTATGAAAAAGAGGATAAATAAATATACAAGGTATGATGTAGCACGTAATGAAAGTAGTTTATTAGATTATGTATTGGTGGATAAAAGGTTGATGGGTAGGCTCCAGGATGTACATGTTTATAGAGGGGCAACTGATATATCGGATCATTATTTAGTTGTAGCTACAGTTAGAGAAAGGGTAGATGAGAAAAGAGGAAGGTGGCAACAAACTAAGTAGAGGAGGTGAAAGTGTATAAACTAAGGGTGGAGGAAGTTCGGGTTGAGATATAAGCGACTATTGGCAGAAAGGTGGGCTAGTGCAAAGATGAGTAGTGGGGGGGTTGAAGAGGGTTGGAACAGTTTTAAAAATGCAGTATTAGAATGTGGGGCAGAAGTTTGTGGTTATAGGAGGGTGGAGGCAGGAGGAAAGAGGAGTGATTGGTGGAATGATGAAGTAAAGGTGTGATAAAGGAAAAAAGGTAGTTTATGAGAGGTTTTTACAAAGCAGAAGTGTTATAAGAAGAGCAGAGTATATGGAGAGTAAAAGAAAGGTAAAGAGAGTGGTGATGAGAGTGCAAAAGGAGAGCAGATGATAGAGTGGGAGAGCACTGTCAAGAAATTTTAATGAAAATAAGAAAAATTGTTGGAGTGAGTTAAACAAGTTAAGAAAGCCTAGGGAAAGTATAGATTTGTTAGTTAAAAACAGAGTAGGGGAGTTAGTAGATGGGGAGATGGAGGTATTAGGTAGATGGGAAGAATATTTTGAGGAAACTTTTAAATGTTAAGGAAGAAAGAGAGGCAGTAATTTCATGCACTGGTCAGGGAGGTATACCATCTTTTAGGAGTGAAGAAGAGCAGAATGTAAAGTGTGGGGGAGGTACGTGAGGCATTACGTAAAATGAAAGGGGGTTGTTATAAAGCAGCTGGAAACTGATGGGATCATGACAGAAATGTTAAAAGCAGAGGGGGATATAGTGTTGGAGTGGTTGGTACTTTTGTTTAATAAATGTATGAAAGAGGGGGAAGGTACCTAGGGATTGGCGTGAGAGCATGTATAGTCCCTTTATATAAAGGGAAAGGGGACAAAAGAGACTGTAAAAATTATAGAGGAATAAGTTTACTGAGTATACCAGGAAAAGTGTACCATAGGGATATAATTGAAAGAATTAGAGGCAAGACAGAATGTAGGATTGCGGATGAGCAAGGAGGTTTCAGAGTGGGTAGGGGATGTGTAGATCAAGTGTTTACATTGAAGCATATATGTGAACAGTATTTAGATAAAGGTTGGGAAGTTTTTATTGCATTTATGGATTTATAAAAGGCATATGATAGAGTGGATAGAGGAGCAATGTGGCAGATGTTGCAAGTATATGGAATAGGTGCTAAGTTATTAAATGCTGTAAAGAGTTTTTATGAGGATAGTGAGGCTTGGGTTAGGGTGTGTAGAAGAGAGGGAGACTACTTCCCGGTAAAAGTAGGTCTTAGACAGGGATGCGTAATGTCACCATGGTTGTTTAATATATTTATAGATGGGGTTGTAAAGGAAGTAAATGCTAGGGTGTTCGGGAGAGGGGTGGGATTAAATTTTGGGGAATCAAATTCAAAATGGGAATTGACACAGTTGCTTTTTGCTGATGATACTGTGCTTATGGGAGATTCTAAAGAAAAATTGCAAAGGTTAGTGGATGAGTTTGGGAATGTGTGTAAAGGTAGAAAGTTGAAAGTGAACATAGAAAAGAGTAAGGTGATGAGGGTGTCAAATGATTTAGATAAAGAAAAAATTGGATATCAAATTGGGGAGGAGGAGTATGGAAGAAGTGAATGTCTTCAGATACTTGGGAGTTGACGTGTCGGCGGATGGATTTATGAAGGATGAGGTTAATCATAGAATTGATGAAGGAAAAAAGGTGAGTGGTGCGTTGAGGTATATGTGGAGTCAAAAAAACGTTATCTATGGAGGCAAAAAAGGAATGTATGAAAGTATAGTAGTACCAACACACTTATATGGGTGTGAAGCTTGGGTGGTAAATGCAGCAGCGAGGAGACGGTTGGAGGCAGTGGAGATGTCCTGTTTAAGGGCAATGTGTGATGTAAATATTATGCAGAAAATTCGGAGTGTGGAAATTAGGAAAAGGTGTGGAGTTAATAAAAGTATTAGTCAGAGGGCAGAAGAGGGGTTGTTGAGGTGGTTTGGTCATTTAGAGAGAATGGATCAAAGTAGAATGACATGGAAAGCATATAAATCTATAGGGGAAGGAAGGCGGGGTAGGGGTTGTCCTCGAAAGGGTTGGAGAGAGGGGGTAAAGGAGGTTTTGTGGGCAAGGGGCTTGGACTTCCAGCAAGCGTGTTAGATAGGAGTGAATGGAGACGAATGGTACTTGGGACCTGACGATCTGTTGGAGTGTGAGCAGGGTAATATTTAGTGAAGGGATTCAGGGAAACTGGTTATTTTCATATAGTCGGACTTGAGTCCTGCAAATGGGAAGTACAATGCCTGCACTTTAAAGGAGGGGTTTGGGATAATGGCAGTTTGGAGGGATATGTTGTGTATCTTTATATGTGTATGCTTCTATACTGTTGTATTCTGAGCACCTCTGCAAAAACAGTGATAATGTGCGAGTGTGGTGAAAGTGTTGAATGATGAAAGTATTTTCTTTTTGGGGATTTTCTTTCTTTTTTGGGTCACCCTGCCTCGGTGGGAGACGGCCGACTTTTTGAGAAAAAAAAAAAAAAAAAGTGGAGATGAGATTATTTTGCCATGATAGTAACAAAAACGGTCAATTCTTGAGCCAGTCCCCATTGTCCTTTGATTCTAAATCAACTGACCTGGTGGATTTTTTTTTTAATTTCCAGTACCCGTTAAATTAAGAATTTTCTAAATTTATTTGATCTAGATGCTGTGTTTCTCCTGGAGATAATTTATTACCATTTTCTAGATATTTTTATTAGTGTACAGTAATATGTAAAACATGGGAGATCCTTATACAGTGGACCCTCGACTAACGATCAGCTCCCAACTCGGCCAGTTATGTAAGTGTATTTTTGTAAGTGCTTTTGTACGTGAATTTTTGGGGGTCTGAAACGGACTAATCTATTTCACAATATTCCTTATGGGAACAAATTCGGTCGGTAACGGCACCCGAACAGACATCTGAAATGAAATAATATCGTTAGTCGAGGGTCCACTGTATTCGCTTTCAGGTATGAAATAATTTTAAGGTCATTATTTAATGTAATTTTCCCAGTAACTAACCATCTAATGCTTTTGGTCGTCCTTTTTTTTTTTTTTTTTTAAATTAAGTGCACATTCTTCGTACATAATGAATTATGATACAATACTGTTCCATTTATCCACATTCCAGTCTGGCTAAAATACTAGTTACTGTACCTAATTATAGCTGTCCACATGTTTTTTTCTGTATTCTGAATCAAAATTAGCTAGAAAATTTATGATTAAGTCTTCTTTCAACAAACTGGCCACCAAGGCAGGGTGGCCCAGAAAGAAAAACAGAAGTTTTTCTTATTAAATTTAGTAATATATACAGGAGAAGGGGTTACTAGCCCCTTGCTCCTGGCATTTTAGTCACCTCTTATGACATGCATGGCTTATGGAGGAGGAATTCTGTTCCACTTCCCTATGGATATAAAAGGAAATAAATAAGAACAAGAACTAGGAAGAAAACAAGAAAGGCCATGTTTGAGACAAAAAAAAAGACACCAGGAATCCTACCATCATGTAAAACGATTACAGATTAGTTTCACACTTGCTTGGCAGGATGGTAGTACCTCCCTGGGTGGTTGCTGTGTACCAACTTGCTACCTTATTTTTAGGTATGCTCATTTTATTTCCCAGTTGAAAGTGGAATGGTATGCTAGAACTGACAAGGTGGAGAAAACGATTCCTGGATGCACTGGTTACCATTATTGAGAACATTTTATTCGCACAAAGGTTTACCCACACAATGGCGAAATATTGTCGTCATTGAAGGCATCTGCTTCGTCCAAGCATCATTGATAGCCAGTGATTGCTGCCAGATTGTTTAGAGCCTGCTTGTAGGTGGAGAACACTGTAACTTGGTTTGTTCATGTCCTGTGTGGTCCAGGACGTGAAATTTTATTTTCATTTCAAGATTATGGACGTTTCCAGCTGCAGTGCACATAGACGAGCACAAATAGTTAGCACGTCTGTCTTGCACTCAGCAGACGGAGGATCAAGCCGCCTCCACGTCTTGTGCTGAATGACCCACGTGGGTTTTAGCACTTACCTGGAGTTTACCTGGAGAGAGTTCCGGGGGTCAACGCCCCCGCGGCCCGGTCTGAGACCAGGCCTCCTGGTGGATCAGAGCCTGATCAACCAGGCTGTTGCTGCTGGCTGCACGCAAACCAACATACGAGCCACAGCCCGGCTGATCCGGAACTGACTTTAGGTGCTTGTCCAGTGCCAGCTTGAAGACTGCCAGGGGTCTGTTGGTAATCCCCCTTATGTGTGCTGGGAGGCAGTTGAACAGTCTCGGGCCCTGACACTTATTGTATGGTCTCTTAACGGCTAGTGACACCCCTGCTTTTCATTGGGGGATGGTGCATCGTCTGCCAAGTCTTTTGCTTTCGTAGTGGGTGATTTTCGTGTGCAAGTTCGGTACTAGTCCCTCTAGGATTTTCCAGGTGTATATAATCATGTATCTCTCCCTCCTGCGTTCCAGGGAATACAGGTTTAGGAACCTCAAGCGCTCCCAATAATTGAGGTGTTTTATCTCCGTTATGCGCGCCGTGAAAGTTCTCTGTACATTTTCTAGGTCGGCAATTTCACCTGCCTTGAAAGGTGCTGTTAGTGTGCAGCAATATTCCAGCCTAGATAGAACAAGTGACCTGAAGAGTGTCATCATGGGCTTGGCCTCCCTAGTTTTGAAGGTTCTCATTATCCATCCTGTCATTTTTCTAGCAGATGCGATTGATACAATGTTATGGTCCTTGAAGGTGAGATCCTCCGACATGATCACTCCCAGGTCTTTGACGTTGGTGTTTCGCTCTATTTTGTGGCCAGAATTTGTTTTGTACTCTGATGAAGATTTAATTTCCTCATGTTTACCATATCTGAGTAATTGAAATTTCTCATCGTTGAATTTCATATTGTTTTCCTGCAGCCCACTGAAAGATTTGGTTGATGTCTGCCTGGAGCTTTGCAGTGTCTGCAATGGAAGACACTGTCATGCAGATTCGGGTGTCATCTGCAAAGGAAGACACGGTGCTGTGGCTGACATCCTTGTCTATGTCGGATATAAGGATGAGGAACAAGATGGGAGCGAGTACTGTGCCTTGTGGAACAGAGCTTTTCACCGTAGCTGCCTCGGACTTTACTCTGTTGACGACTACTCTCTGTGTTCTGTTAGTGAGGAAATTATAGATCCATCGACCGACTTTTCCTGTTATTCCTTTAGTACGCATTTTGTGCGCTATTACGCCATGGTCACACTTGTCGAAGGCTTTTGCAAAGTCTGTATATATTACATCTGCATTCTTTTTGTCTTCTAGTGCATTTAATTCAGTTGCAGTACTATAACTTGTATTCTTCATAGTACAGGGTACGTGTATTTACAAAATTCATACTGCCATCTTTTTCTTTGGTTTCTTATTAAAAAAGAAAAAAATTAATAACTAAAATACACAAAAATATATTGTGAGCTGGCAGTGAAAAATAGTTCATAGGAAACAGCCTTAGTAAGAGGGAAATTTAGGTTCTTATATAAAAAAAAAAAAAACTAGTTAATTCAAGCGATATTAATCGCAGCGAGTTCTAATCTGATCCACAATATATTGAGTATTTCACTGTAGGATTTGTAAATCTTGTATATTTCATTTCATGAGCATGTAGTTTGTCTTTTTCACTTAATATTGGATGCTCTACAATAATGGTGTCATGTAAGTAAGTATTTATGCCAATTTTAATAGTTCTAAAAATACAAAAGATGCTACTTTAGGCAATTTTATTTTGTCAAGCATGATGTTCACTATACAAGATTATATCTGGAGGGTGTTCTGGGGAATCAGTGCCCCCACGGCCCAGTCCGTGACCAGGCCTAGGTTGTAGGATATTGTTAACTTATTATGAATATGATCAGTAAACACATTTCAATAAGTTTTTCTAGTACTACAAGTAATGATTATTTCATTGCAGGTAAAGGGACCTGACCCAGGCTACAATAGTACTGCTATTTTTGCAACCCAGAGTGCCATGACCATCCTTAAAGAAAAAGACAAACTACCAGGAAAGTAAGTGCCTGCCAGTGGTCACAAATTGAGTGTGAGAGTACATTTTCATTTTGCTTTTGTTGGTTACAGTTAAATATGGTATTTTTTTTGTGTGGTTTCACTGAATTTTTTTTTCCGTACTGCTTTTTTTGTCTTTGAGTTGTAACGTGTACTGTTGTATTGTAGTGTTTTTTGTCAGAGGTGCTGAGTGGTTTTGATGCTCCATGGCTGCCTTCTCTTCAGTTTTGTCTTTTGAGAGATCTTTGAGCCTTTAGTTTGAATACATGCTCTGGTGAGCCAAACACTTGGAATTGTGTAACTGGCAGAAGGAAATGACACCTCTGAGGTGGTGCCTTGATGCCAATGAAAGGCTTGTGATCTAAGAAATTGGAGCTACCTTTCTCTTGTTTTTTTTTTTTTTTTTTTATTATCACACCGGCCGATTCCCACCAAGGCAGGGTGGCCCGAAAAAGAAAAACTTTCACCATCATTCACTCCATCACTGTCTTGCCAGAAGGGTGCTTTACACTACAGTTTTTAAACTGCAACATTAACACCCCTCCTTCAGAGTGCAGGCACTGTACTTCCCATCTCCAGGACTCAAGTCCGGCCTGCCGGTTTCCCTGAATCCCTTCATAAATGTTACTTTGCTCACACTCCAACAGCACGTCAAGTATTAAAAACCATTTGTCTCCATTCACTCCTATCAAACACGCTCACGCATGCCTGCTGGAAGTCCAAGCCCCTCGCACACAAAACCTCCTTTACCTCCTCCCTCCAACCCTTCCTAGGCCGACCCCTACCCCGCCTTCCTTCCACTACAGACTGATACACTCTTGAAGTCATTCTGTTTCGCTCCATTCTCTCTACATGCCCGAACCACCTCAACAACCCTTCCTCAGCCCTCTGGACAACAGTTTTGGTAATCCCGCACCTCCTCCTAACTTCCAAACTACGAATTCTCTGCATTATATTCACACCACACATTGCCCTCAGACATGACATCTCCACTAATTACCTCCTATTTCCAAAGCACTGTATGACCCTTATAGGTTTGGTGCTTCCCCATCAGTATAATGGTTTCTTTTTTGTTTCTTTAAATTGAAGAGGTGCAGTGTAATTTTTTTCGTTGTTTTTCAGTATACATTTTAGCAATCTTGTTAATTTGAAGTTTTTATCTCCATAGGGGTGGTGTGTATACTCCAGCTGCAGCCTTCCTGAAGACTGACCTCTGCTCAAACCTGGAAAAAAATGGCATCAGCTTCACTATCAAGAAATAAATACCAAGAGTTGTGTTTACATACAATAAGGGACCATTGCACAGTTCTGATTTAGATTTAGGAATGGAGACATTAACCTTTATATACTGTAAAGGGCTTCATTTTTATATTTTAAATGCAGAGTATTTTTCATAGTACTGTAGTCCCCTGCTTATGATGTTCCATATCTGTAATGTACTATATTGTAGCTGTGTTCTGTTGAATTAACACTTATATATACACTTGGTTTAATTATATATATACTGCTTGTGAGTGAAGGAAACAGTACCATTATATATTGGGGAAATATTCTTAGTTTAAAATAATGGAATTAGATACAGAACTTCATGGATTCAGTATTAAAATGGGTGTATCGAAAAAATAGGTACGTAGTTCCAAATACTTGACTTGGGAACAATTGCTGCATTAACATTTTGGGGTCCCACTGTATTTTACTAGTTTGACTTGTGAATATTAACCCTTAAACGGTCCAAACGTATATATACGTTCATGCGCGTAGCGCCCCAAACGTATATATACGTTTACTTTGTCATTCATTCAGCATTGCCACAATAAGCCTGAGTCACCTAGACATGAGAGAATGGGTGTGCGCACTCACTGTGTGCCATATTAAAATAATTGGGGATGCCTGGGTACCATATGCTCTTTTTTCCTCAAAAAATTTGGGGCGCTACGCAAGTGAACGTATATATACGGTTTGACCGTTTAAGGGTTAATGGGCAATTAAAAAGAAAATTTCTTAATCTTGATGCTGTTGAAATATACAGAACTACAATTTCAAAGTCAAAATACAAAATTTTGTTTTACTGTGCCAATATACCATAGTAAAAAAATGTGTGCCAGCTATGCAAGTTTAAAATTAAGAAATGTAAGTTTACAGATTTCCTTACTTTAGAAAGACGTGTAAGCAAACACCACGACATATGAGTAAACATTTTGGTCCTGAGGCCTTGACATTTCTTCAGTGTATGTGTGATTTTTTTTTTTTTCAGAATTATTTTTGTGTTCCAGGACATGACAATAGTTCCTCTGGCAAAGGTTATATATAGTTGTCTACATCAACTGGTGATGCAACCTCCCAGAGGTACTTTTAACTAAGTGTCTGCTGATACTGGATTACCAATACACCCCAAGCTGTCCTAAAGAGGGAGCTGGATAGGCACCTAGTCATTACCTGACCAACCAGGCTGTGGTTTGTACGTCGGTTTGCATGTGAGCAGTAACAGCCTGGTTGATCATGCCCTGATCCACTGCGAGGCCTGGTCATGGACCGGGCCATGGGGGCATTGACCCCCAGAACACCCTCCAGGTATTTGGGAAGTATAATTTTTTGATACCTTTGTCTCTGAGGAACCTTTTATTTAAATAAACCACCCATTAAGTTCACATAGAATTTATTAATCATCACATTACACTGTATAATAATTATTACAATGCACCAATTAGATTTATGTAGCTAGGGGTTTATTTTTTTATTAAAGAGCATTTCAAAAATAGTGCTTTGTTATTAAAATATGAATTATGTCATGACATAAGTATGAAGGTGGGTGATTTGATCAGATTGGGTTGTGATGCCGCAACATGTACTCTATCTTGGTGGGTCAGATCCTGTCAAAACAGTCACAAACTTGTAATCAAACATTTTCTTTCCTTGAAAGGGAAATGTTCCTGAAAACTGGACTACCATTTCCTGCAAGTGACAGATCAACCAGGCTGTGATGGCTAAATCTTCAGAACTGCTCACAGCAACAGCCTGGTTCATCAGGCAGTTAAGTGTGTGGTGCCTTGGACTGGGGTGTGAGGCCCTCAAAATCCAGTCACTTATGATCTACACAATCTTCTGCATACAGATAAGCTTTATTTAAATAACTTTTGCAACAATTAATAAGAAGCTATAGACTTAAGATAACTCTGATGATCACATTCCTTTTTCAGAATACAAATGTGGCTTGCATACCCTGACATGTTTTTCAGTATTAATATAGAAAACTAGTTAAGTACTGTATTATTCAAAATACAAAGGTATTCCTTTGAATCTGTATTAAAAACTGTTCAGAATTGAGGTAGCATGGATGATGATCTTGAGTTGCGTATCATTATCCTATAACTTCTCTAACTTTGATGGAGGAAACTGTAGCATACAGGTCTGGCATGAACTTAGTAACTAAAAATCTAGTAAAAACGGGACATTTATCATCCTAAAACAAAATTCCTTGCACTTAAATCCACTTGTAGAAATGAGGTGAACGACGACTACTGGAGATTTCCAATTTACTGTGAAGTGTTGCTTGAGGCACCAAGTGTTGACATTGATGCAAGGACAGTGTTAACAGTAATGAAGACAAGTGCAGAGCAAGCTTTATTGTAGAGCTATATAAATTCCATTACTTTGAAATATGCAGCAGAGAGAGACCTTTTCTTACATGTAAGACCTTTTATCTACACAAGGCCATGGAGTACTTAATAAAGCCTTGGAGGTAAAACACTTTACTGATCAAGGCCTCTCGATTGCTGAACATTCAATGCTCGTCAGCAATGCCATACCTAAACTAGTACTTAGTTTTCTTCTAGGTAGAGCTTTATTATCACAAAGCTTACTGTGCACGCATGTTCGAATATTAAGGGCACATGCAGTCCTACGTAATGGCAGCACCTTGCCTTGTGCTCAACCATCTTCATGTGAACTTTAGTAAAATGAACAAAATACAAATTAGTCTAATAAAATGCTCTGTGGAATAAATAATTTGCTCTCTGAAACACAGCCACACACACATACACAGCCACACACACACACACACATACATTTGCTTTGGTTTTTATCCTAAGTAGAAAACAAAATAAAAAGCTTTGCTAAAACAAAAGATTAATATTTAGGAGGGTGATAACTAAGGTACATCTGTATTCGAACGTTTTATTACGTTAACTAAAAATAAAGGACGCATATTCATGCGAGCGCTCACAAGTACATGCATACTTACACGGATGCGTAAAGGTGTTCACTACATTAAAATATGTATTCAGGACAATAACAGTACAAACTGGATACAAAACTATATGGGAGAAAATGTTTAGGTTGAAATTTCTAGCTCAAAATATTCTTGTGGAATACAAACTACAGTGTGTGCAATGGGTGTGTCAAATCTTGAGACTATGGTGAGAGCACCATGGTTAGATCACAAACTTCTCGAGTAGTTTATAATTAGTATTCGGTCTTGTGAAACTTGCTCGACATTCTCTTATTTCATCAAGGATATTACTGAAGTCTAAAGATTTTTACATTACATGTACTATAAATTACCTAAGAGATTAAGACACGACATAAAATCTTGGGCGAGCTATTGTAAAAATATATATCTTTTTTTTTTTTTTTTTAACCAAGTGTAGGAAAATGGGTTTCCTCCCAACGGCCCAGCCGGGGTCACAACTTGCGCACATTTGAGGCTCAGGCTCCTCACCACAGTATGAAGGTGTTTAGTGTATTTGAGATTTTCTGTCATAATGTGTTGTATACTTCCTGCCAGAGCTGGCTTCCTTATGGATGTTGTACATTAAAATAAACATGACAGAGATAGCGAAAGGAGATCTCAAAGTGGTGGTAGGTGCACTTCGTACATCACTGAGGTATAAGGTGTGTAATGAGGTGATGTGGTGAGGTTCTGAACCATCACTGAAGCACCAAAGATCTCCAGAGATGTTTTTAGCACTCTTTCAATGACTTTCAATAGAACCAGAGAGCAGATTGTTACCAGACAGAACACCTCTTACTGGGGTTCAAAGTAGAACCAATTGGGCAGTTCCAATCCCTAGCAAACTCTGGCCGGTTGCTGAAAGGTCCATTGACTCTGAACTGTGCAGGAGAGTGTGCACCAGTCAAGATGCGAAGCTTCAGTGTCTCTGGACGGTACTTCCCACACCAAACATTGGCTGCTGAGATCCAGAACAACTGGCGAGTGTTGTAAGGTAGTGATGGTAGGGTCTTCTCCTCACCATTGTCTTTGGCCCACTGGTTGTATGCCATGTATGCTTCTTTGATACCTCCATTATCAGCAATATTCTCACCCTGAGTGTTGATGCCATTCAACTGCAAACAAAAAAAAAAAAAATAAAATTAACATGCAATTATGTTCATAATTGTGTGTTGCACCAAGTGCTGTATGACTCCCATAGGTGTCATACAGCACTTGGAGATAAGTTCTGATCAAGGAGAAAGTAGCTCCAATTCCTTGAATTACCAGCATCACAGCACCTTCCCCCAGTTCCCTGGAAGGGTACAGAGGCACTAGATATGATAATGACTTGTTAACCTCTTCAAGGGGGCCTCCTTGGCATGGTGAAGAGGCTCTTGGTCTGAGGAATTAGACCTGTCAGTCTCCTTCCTCAGACCAAACCTAATTACCCCCCAATCCCCCCTTTCCTTTTTGCCCTTCCTCTTTTTGGCCTTTGGGATTTTTTCCACAGGCACGCTGGTTCCTAGGTAGGGGAAAGGGTACCAGGGTCCATCCCATTCTGTTGAGGTTCTTGGCGGTGGCGTAGTTTGCCGTGGAATCTGGATCGCCTGGGGATGTCCCGATCCCCCTCTGGTATCCCGGAGAGTGGCTTTGGGTGCCTTTCGGGCGACGGGTGTATCTCTGGAAGCCACCTTTCGGGTTCCGGGGGTGGTGGCCGAAGGAGGTATGCTTTGTGGCGGATATCCGGCCGCCCTCTCTTTTGTCCACCGAGGTAGCTCGGCAAATGTGAGGTTGCTATCCTGGATTGCTGGTTTACTGGCATGATGGGTAGGGTATGGCACGGGTTCCATGCTGCATCTATGCTACTTGCAGTGCTGAGGTCCTCTTGGGCGCGGAGGGAGATTTCTGGCCCTTTCATTCCTCCTAGGAACTATCCCTCCCCGGTCCTCCCTTTTTTTTATTTTTTTATTTTTTTATTTTCTTCTTAAAAACAAAAAGAAAGAAGTAACCTAACCATGGAGAACCCAATCCATGAACCTGCTACCCCCGGGCCCCTTCTTGATACCGCACCCTGTTCTGACCCCGCCTCGTCTTTGGATCACTCTTCAGACACTCCTCATGCCTCTGTACCTCTTGCCGGTGCTGTTTCCTCACCCGCTTCAGGTAATGAGGTCTCGACTGACTCCTTTGATTTATCTGACCTTCGCTCTCCTCTGACTATGCTTCCGGCCTCTCCCTCTACGGTGCGGCAATTTTTGAATCGCCGACCCGTTCCACGTCGGCCCAACTCTGGTCCCATGCCTAAACGCCAACGACAATTACCTGCTGATGATACTTCTCCACCTCGTTCTTCTCAGAAAAGATCGACACGTCCTTCACTACCTTTCTACACCCAGTTTCAGACTGCACAATGGACTAAATTCTTCACTTTACGACCGACTTCTTCTACTGCCTATCTTTCTGACCACAGTATTGGCAAGGCACTCCTACGCCATGTTGGTAAAAATATTTCTTTTCATGCTCTTAAGAGCGGTACGCGCATCATCACCGTACAGAATGCTACCCAGGCTCATGAGCTTTCTTGTCTTTCCCATATCGATACTGTTCCTGTCACTATTGAAAAACGTCATTCCCTCAATTCTTGTAGTGGTACCGTCATTCTGCCCCATACCATAGTTCAACAAAATTTCCAGACATGTGGCACTGACATTCTTGAACAGCTGGAACTCCAAGATCTCCCAATCCTCAAGGTAGACACTTATGTTCTTCCTGCCCGCGGGCGGAGACGATACCCTAGCAATGTGGCTCGTTTAACTTTTGACAGCCGTGAACTCCCATCCTCCGTTTATGTAGCAGGACATCAGTTACAAGTTCGAAAGGTGATCCCTACACCGCAACAGTGTAGAAATTGCTGGCAATTTGGCCATCCAGCGAAATATTGCAGATCTATCGCCGAATGCCCAGTCTGTGGTGCAGATGACCATTCTAATACGTCTTGCAATTGACCTCCCTCTTGCCTTAATTGTCATGAGGCTCACCCTTCGTACTCTCGCCGTTGTCAAGTCTACTTAAACGAGCGGGAAATCCGTTACCTCAAAGAGGCAGAAGGTCTCCCTTATGCCATGGCAGTTTCTCATCTCCGCCTTCAAGGGAGACTACCTCGTGTTTCTTATTCCCGTGTTTCAAAACATCCCCCCACTTCTGGGGTTACCTCTCCCATACTCACTCCTGTATCTAATTCTTTTGCTGTCCTCTGCTCAGACGTCCCTACTTCAACGCCTCGGTCTGATCTCGCTTCTTCGTGTTCTCTCTCACAAGCCTCAGTAGCGACGAGATCTCGTATGACACCTCCTCCCAATCGTCCCTCTACTTCTCAAAAGTCAAAAAAAGGTCCGTTAACACCTCCTACCCATCTTCCACCTCCTCATTTTACTTTCCCTGTCTCTGTACCTGGTTCTCCCCCTCTCACTGGCTCTGTTACAAGTGTAGAGGTTCACCCTCCTCGTACTGTACCTTCCTCCCAAGTTTCTTCCTCTTCTGCCACCTCCCAGGTTTCTGCCTCTTCTGTCCCCTTCCATGCTTCTCCAGTTCCCTCCACCCTTTTGCCCCCCCCCCCTACCTTGGTCGAGTCCAATACAGTTCCAATCTTTACTCATCCTCCCCCTACCATTTCCAATATTGTCTCCCATACGACGTCTCTGAATTCCGAAACACTTGAAGCAATCTCTGAATATATTGCAGAGACCAAACCATCAATGGACACTGATCCACCCTCCGTTCCATATGCGCAACTCCTTTCTTCACAGCGCACCGTTCCTTCACTGCTTGAACGTTTTCCACTGCCTCCGCATGTGGACTTTTCTAACCCCTCTAGTCCGTAGGAACCCTTACCTGCAGATTTCAGGTATCTTTATCATTGCCAATCATGGCCTATTTACAGTGGAATATACGCGGCCTCAGGAGTAATCGGGGTGAGCTTCAGATGTTGCTCTCCCAGTTTTCCCCTGTTTGTGTTTGCTTACAGGAACCAAAATTACACTCTGCTGTTATCTCTCCCATCTCAGGCTATAATTTATTGTATTCTTCAGATCCTTTCCTGATGGGACCTTTAATGAAAGTGCCCTTCTTCTACGCACTGATATTCCGTACCATCAGCTATTTGTTCGTACTTTGCTGCATTACACAGCAGCCCGTATCCACTTGCATAGGTGGTATACGCTCTGTTCTTTATATCTCTCTCCTTCTCGGGCATTATCTATTCCGGATATTGCCTTTCTTGTTTCATCATTACCGCCACCGATTCTGTTACTTGGTGATTTTAAATGCCCACCATTTCCTCTGGGGGCTCTCACTGTGATTCCCGTGGCATTCAGTTTAGAGGCTTTTCTTGCCACCCACCCCCTCCATGTTTTAAAACTTACAGGTACTCACACCCATTTTGATCCTCAGACTCACACTCTCTCTTGCATCGATCTCTCAGTCTGCTCTTCCTCCGCCGCATTAGACTTCACTTGGTCTGTTCTCCCGGACTTACATGACAGCGATCATTTCCCAATCATTCTTACTTCCCCTTCATATTCACCACCTCTTCGCATCCCACGCTGGCAATTTGATCAGGCAAATTGGAACCTTTACTCACACCTAACTGTTTTTAGAGAGGTTCCTTCTTCGTCCTCCATTGATGAGCTTTTACACCTCTTCTCGTCCTCCGTTTTAACCGCAGCTTCTCATTCTATACCCCAAACTTCGGGCAGGCATTCTCAGAAATGCTTGCCTTGGTGGTCTCCTGCTTGTGCTCGTGCAGTACGTTTGAAACGCGCTGCATGAGGCAGGTACCGGTGCAATAGAACCACAGACTTCTTGATTTTAAGCAGAAGTGTGCGATCGCTCGCCGTGTCATCCGTGACGCTAAACGCACTTGCTGGCGAGATTACGTCTCCACCATCACCTCTGCTTCCTCTATGAGTGCAGTCTGGAAAAAAGTACGAAAACTGAGTGGTAAATATTCTCCTGACCCGGCTCCTGTTCTGCGGGTTGCCGGTGTTGAAATAGCAAACCCACTAGATGTTGCCAATCATCTGGTCCGTATTTCTCAGGGACTCCATCTATGCCCCTCATTTCTTTCCTCAAAGTCTGCCAGAGAGTTAGCACCCTTGGACTTTTCTTCTCTCAGAGAAGAACAGTATAATGTGCCTTTTACACTTCAAGAACTGGAGGCAACACACTCAGCTTGCCTATCATCGGCAGCTGGGCCCGACGACATTCATATTCGTATGCTGCAACATTTACATCAGTCAGCCCTTGCAGTCCTATTACGCCTTTACAATCTTATTTGGTCACAAGGAGTTCTTCCACAGCTGTGGAAATCCGCCATTGTTCTCCCTTTCCGCAAACCAGGCACTACGGGACATGAAACCTCCCACTATCGTCCCATTGCTCTTACCAGTGCAGTTTGCAAAGTGATGGAATGCCTAGTAAACAGACGTTTAGTGTGGTATTTAGAGACACACAACAGTCTCTCCACTCATCAATATGGCTTTCGTAAGGGACGTTCTACCATAGACCCCTTACTACGCTTGGATACGTATGTTCGTAATGCCTTTGCGAATAACCACTCAGTTATTGCCATATTTTTTGACCTTGAGAAGGCATATGACACAACTTGGAGGTATAATATTTTAGCCCAAGCCCACTCCTTAGGCCTTCGAGGCAATCTACCATCCTTCCTTCCTTAAGAACTTTTTAACTGACAGGCATTTCCGTGTTCGGGTTAATAATGTGCTCTCCCCGGACTTTATCCAAGCTGAAGGTGTCCCCCAGTTTACCTGGACCTGGAGCAGTTTACCTGGAGAGAGTTCCGGGGGTCAACGCCCCTGCGGCCCGGTCTGTGACCAGGCCTCCTTAGGTCAGTGTCCCAGGATGTGACCCACACCAGTCGACTAACACCCAGGTACCCATTTTACTGATGGGGAACATAGACAACAGGTTGAAAGAAACACGTCCAATGTTTCTACTCTGGCTGGGAATCGAACCCAGGCCCTCACCGTGTGAAGCGAGAGCGTTAACCACCAGGCCACCAGAGCCCCAGGGATGTGTTCTGAGCACAACACTTTTTTCTCCTTGCTATTAATGATTTGGCCTCTTAGTCTTCCATCAAATATTTGGTCATCACTATGTTGATGACTTCACTATTGCTTGTGCAGGCGCTGACCGTCACCTCATTACAGTTTCTCTCCAGCATGCAGTCGACCGTGTTTCCAATTGGGCCACCACACGTGGGTTTAAATTTTCCAGCACTAAAACCCACCAAATTACTTTCACTAGACGCTCTGTCATCTCCGATCATCCTTTGTACCTCTATGGCTCCAGTATCCCTGAACGTGATACAGTCAAGTTTCTGGGCCTCCTCTTTGATCGTAGGTTATCCTGGAAACCTCACATTACCTCTCTGAAGGCAACTTGTCACAGCCGGCTGAACCTTCTTAAAACCCATGCTCATCATTCATGGGGAGCTGATCATCGAACCCTCCTTCGCCTACATTCCACCCTCATTTTATCGAGCCTTGATTATGGTGACCAGATCTATTCAGCGGCATCTCCTGCTACTCTCTCTAGCCTTAACCCCATTCATCACCAAGGATTACGTTTATGCCTTGGTGCTTTTCGCTCTTCCCCTGTTGAGAGCCTCTATGCAGAAGCGAACGTTCCATCCTTATCCGATCGCCGTGATGCCCATTGCCTTTGCTACTATGTACGCTCTCATGATCTCCGCAATCCTTCCATTTATAGAATGGTCACTGATATTAGTAGACATTAGTAACAAACTTCAATGTATTAAACCGAGTATAGGTTACTGGCCGTCTTCTTATCACCAGTGTCGAGGTTGGGAGACTACTCTCTCCCGTCTTCGCAGTGGCCATACTCGTCTTACTCATGGATATCTCATGGAGAGGCGCCCTGCTCCTCTCTTGTGAGAATTGCCAGGCTCCATTATCAGTCAGCCACATTCTGTTGGACTGCCCACTTTATCAACGAGCACGCAGAATTTACCTCCGTCGTAGTCTTTGCTCCGCTGCTCTCTCTTTACCTTCCCTTCTCGCTGATGGACCCACCTTTCATCCGGACTCTCTCATTGACTTTTTGACAACAACTGACTTGCTTCACAAATTCTGATACCTTCAGCCCTTTCTACCTCAATCTCTTGTTACCCTCTACCCCCGTACTATCCCCTGCCCCGCTGTTTTCTGTAACCTACTGATCATCCCTCCTCCCTTCTGCCGCCCAATACCCTCGCTTCATTCCCTACCCTGCAGCGCTGTACACCCCTTGTGGCTTAGCGCTTCTTTTTGATTATAATAATAATAATAATAATGACTTGTTAAAAATGAGACATAATCCAAAGTTACATTGTTGAATTACCAGGAGATATGTAATGAGGGGAAAAGTAATCTTACTTTAGCCATCAACTCACATTCATGTTAACTGTAGGAACAGAATAGTTGCCATACTGGTAAATGATACACTTGGCCTTTTCAAGGAACTTTTTCTTGGTCTCCTCGTCCCACCAGTCTCTGAGGTCCCCAGTGGCATCAAACTGACGACCCTGCCAACATTACATGCAATGTTAATGACTCAAGTCGTAACTAAGAGCAAAATTATTTTAATTTGGAATAATTAATAACTATTAAATTCAAATTATTTTTCACAAAAATCATACACTAATTAAGTTTCTAGATGGTAAATTTTGAGGTTTGCACAGATAATCTAGCAGTCTCAAACAAACAGTACTTATGTTGTATTTACCAATCTCCTAACATTAATATATATTTTAAAATAATACATATATAAAATAATGTAATTCAATTGCTTAGCCTAGCAGTACAAGCCGTGTGTCTCTTCACCGTATCATCAAAACCATGAGTGATCTCATGACCAATGACATAGCCAATCGCACCGAAGTTCATGTATTTGGGTCGGTCAGCTTCAAAGAAAGTTCCCTGAAGGATGCCAGCAGGAAATTCTGTAGGAAAATAATGGGGGTTTTAATATTGTGAGAAGAAATCACGGTAAAACTTTATTAAAGAACATAGTAAATAAAACACAGACTCAAGTTTCTCAGAAGACTTGATAAATCTTAGCCAAGATTAAACTAAATTTTTTGTAATAAAATAGCATGCGTGAGCGTGTTTGATAGGAGTGAATGGAGACAAATCGTTTTTAATACTTGACGTGCTGTTGGAGTGTGAGCAAAGTAACATTTATGAAGGGATTCAGGGAAACCGGCAGGCCGGACTTGAGTCCTGGAGATGGGAAGTACAGTGCCTGCACTCTGAAGGAGGGGTGTTAATGTTGCAGTTTAAAAACTGTAGTGTAAAGCACCCTTCTGGCAAGACAGTGATGGAGTGAATGATGGTGAAAGTTTTTCTTTTTCGGGCCACCCTGCCTTGGTGGGAATCGGCCGGTGTGATAATAATAAAAAAAAATTAATAATAAAAAAAAATAGCTGTATAGCCCTTGTGGCTTAGCACTTCGCTTCTTTATAATAATAATTGTAATAAAATAACCTGTCATTCCAATACTCATTTAGGTAGTAGGTTGGTAGACAGCAACCACCCAGGGAGGTACTACCGTCCTGCCAAGTGAGTGTGAAATGGAAATCTATAATTATTTTACATGATAGGATTCCTGGCATCTTCTTTATTGTCTCAAACATGCAGGATAACAGGCATATCTTGCTACTTCTACTTACACTTATGCATGTAACTTGCATGTGTAGTGTGACCTATATATTTACATGCCCATCCGGGTTTTCTTTATTTTCTTAATAGTTCTTGTTTATTTCCTCTTATCTCCATGGTGAAGTGGAACAGAATTCTTCTTCCTTAACCCTTTCAGGGTCCAAGGCCCAAATCTGAAGTCACGCACCAGTGTCCAAGAATTTTCAAAAAAAAAATTTGTTATTTTTTCTTATGAAATCGTAGAGAATCTTTTTGTGAAGGTAATAAAACAAAAAGTACGAAATTTGGTGGAAAATTGACGAAATTATGCTCGCGAATTTTGATGTGTCAGCGATATTTACGAATCGGCGATTTTGCCGACTTTGACTACTTTGACTCCCATTTTAGGCCAATTACATTATTCCAATCAACCAAATTCTTAGCTATTTCACTAGTATTACTTCTATTCTATCGATTGAGCACAAGAAATCGCCAAGTCAACTGTTTCAACTACAAAATAAAGTGATCGGAAATTGTTAATTTGGCCAATTTAACACATAGTTCAAAATATTCCAATTTCAAAATAGGGTCCAGAATGAACAATGTAGGCATTCCTGGCACTAAACTAACATTTCCTCTGTTCATTAGTTATGTTTTGAGGCTTTACAAATAAATTCCATTTTGATTTTTTATTCACATAATGAATTTTTATTCACACCAAAAAATAGAAGATTTACTGTAATGCAATACTGTAATAATTGTATAAATATCATCACCATATTTGTGAATGTATATTAGACCCACCAGCTGGTGTGTATTAGACGTGTGAGGTTTGTTTACTCTTGAATATCGGCAAAAATTTAACATTTCTGCTACTTTGAGCTCAGTTTCAAGCCATTTCCAGTGCTAAAACCAATCAAAATCATCTCTATTTCTGTAATATGTCTTCCATTCTATCAAATGAGACCAAGAAATCGCAAATACAACTATAAAAAACATACGAAAAAACACTGCAAAGTTGCTGTTTTAATCGAAAAATCATGATTTCATTTTTTTCTCTCATTATACACAGTGTGCTGCAGGATCTGTTTTATGTGGTGCACACATACCACATAGATGTATTCTCTCATATCTAGGCCCAAATGTACCACTCACAGTTTATCAGAGTGAGCTGAGCTCATGGCGTAGATCTACGGTTTGGACCCTGAACGTAAAGCCGTAGATCTACAGGACGGACCCTGAAAGGGTTAAGCAATGTGTGTCATAAGAAGCTATTAAAATGCTGAGAGCAAGGGGCTAGTGACCCTTTCTCTATAAATTACTAAATTTTAAAAGAAGCTTTTATTTTTATTTTTTTAGGTCACCCTGCTGCAGTGAGATAACCAGTTTGTTGGACAACAAAATAGTTATAGAAGCAGTACAGCATTTGTGTTATAACCTGCTTTACTCCAGCTGTGATTACAGAAGGGTTCTGATAACATTACACACCTAAATGTGCTTTAATTACTACTCTTCATACACATCTGCCGAGGGAGGGCAACCCAAAAAGAAAATACTTTCATCATCATTCAACACTTTCACCTCACTTATATATAATCACTGTTTTGGCAGAGGCAACCAGATACAACAGTTTAGAAGCATATTATTTATTATCACACTGACCGACTCCCACCAAGGCAGGGTGGCCCGAAAAAGAAAAACTTTCACCATCATTCACTCCATCACTGTCTTGCCAGAAGGGTGCTTTACACTACAGTTTTTAAACTGCAACATTAACACCCCTCCTTCAGAGTGCAGGCATTGTACTTCCCATTTCCAGTACTCAAGTCTGGCTATATAAAAATAACCATTTCCCTAAATCCCTTCACTAAATATTGCCCTGTTCACACTCCAACAGCTCGTCAGGTCCCAAAAACCATTCGTCTCCATTCAATCCTATCTGACATGCTCATGCACGCCTGCTGGAAAGTCCAAGCCCCTTGCCCACAAAACCTCCTTTACCCCCCTCCCTCCAACCTTTTCAAGGATGATCCCTACCCCTGCCTTCCTTTCCCTAGAGATTTATACGCTCTCCATGTCATTCTACTTTGATCCATTCTCTAAATGACCAAACCACCTCAACAACCCCTCTTCAGCCCTCTAATACTTTTATTAACTCCACACCTCCTAATTTCCACACTCTGAATTTTCTGCATAATATTTGCACCACACGTTGCCCTTAGACAGGACATCTCCACCGCTTCCTTGCCGCAGCATTTACAACCCAAGCTTCACACCCATATAAGAGTTGGTACCACTATACTTTCATACATTCCCTTCTTTGCCTCCACGACGTTTTTTTGTCTCCACATATACCTCAATGCACCACTCCCCTTTTTTCTTTCATCTTAGTATTCAATTTAAACTCAGGGCATTCTCTCTGTTCCCATTACATTGTTGTACGTATTTACATCCCCTTTGATGGATATACTCCTTTCAAGAGTGGAGGATTTTTTGTAAGCAGCATACAAAGAGGATTGGGGAACCATGTTATCTACATAACTAATCCCAGAGTGATCAAAAACATGAGGAAAGGTTCTTACGGATGGAATTCTCCAAGGGGCTATAGAAAGCATTAACAACAGCTGCAGCTCCGTGGCTTCGCCAGTCCTTCTTGTCAACCTCTTCTCTTAACCTCTTGAACGAATAGTCAGTTCCAAACACAGTCATATTACGCATGTTTTCCAAAAGATCACCATTGGAGATTTCCAACTGGAACAATAAGAAAATATTCAGCATTATAACTAAAAGTTGACAAATAATAACTTACAAGAGGACCCAAGCAAACAAATGCAAGTTACACACGTTTACACTTACAAATGAGGCTCTTAAGAACCAATTAGTTTCCACGATGACCATTTTACACATACTGACGAACCATAGTATAAACAATCTTCGTACTAATAGTGCTTACACAAACTTTTGTTGGTCTGAAACCCAAGAACATAATTCTTTTGTATGTTGGGATAACAAATTTGATTGGAAGAAATGCAGTATTAGTACCCAAAAGCACTGGATACAAATTGCTGCTTTTGTATTAGCTTACTTGAGTGGATATCAACTTAGGGTAGGTGCCACTCTGGACCTCCCGCCCTCTTCTTCTCCTTTAATTTAACTTACAACAGTGAGCGAAACTTACCACCTGTTTGATAATTATTATTATTTTTGGCATATTTGTTACTGCTATTGTCCAATCCCTGGCTGAGTGAAAACATTGGTTACATTTTCTTACTATTAAAGGAGCAGTGGCAGGGCAAGTAAATAGTTGGGTGCTAACCAACTAGGATGGGTCATATCCTGGGAAAAGATTAGAAGACCCCCAGGGAAATAAGCCACAGTCTGAAAACAGGACTATAATAATAATCTATATCTACAAGCACAAGCATCCTTATCCGATCGCCGTGATGCCCATTGCCTTCGCTACTATGTACGCTCTCATGATCTCCGCAATCCTTCCATTTATAGAATGGTCACCGATATTGTAGACATTCTTTATTTGTTCGCTGCCCCTGTTTGCTCCGTCCCTTCTCCCTTCGCCTAAATTCGCTCCTCTTCTCTTCAATTACCACCTTTCTATGTTCATGTAGCATCTCACTTTTCCCTACCCCCCTGGGAAGTTCCAGCTGTTCGAGTCTGTTCTTTCTCTCTCCCTTGCTTGAAAGCCCAACTGTCTATGGTCACTTCCCGCTCTCTTTTTCTTGACCACTTCCACTCTCATTCTCATGCCATTGCAGTGTACACAGACGGCTCTAAGTCTTCTGATGGCATAGGATTTGCAGCAGTGTTTCCGGACAACGTCGTACGAGGGCATTACCTACCTTCGGCTAGTATCTTTACTGCTGAATTGTATGCCGTTCTTGCAGCACTTATCCGTATTGCATCTATGCCTGTGTCATCATTTGTGGTTGTCTCAGACTCCCTTAGTGCTTTACAGGCTATACAGAAATTTGATACACCTCGCCCCTTAGTCCTCCGTATCCAACTTTGGCTACGCCGCATCTCTTCCAAGCATAAAGATACTGTTTTTTGTTGGGTCCCTGGTCATGCTGACGTACAGGGCAATGAACAGGCAGACACTGCTGCGCGGTCAGCAGTACACGACCTACCAGTTTCATATAGAGGTGTTCCATTTACGAACTATTTTGCTGCAATAGCTACTCACCTTCACACCCGTTGGCAACAACGTTGGTCTACTCTGCTCAGTAACAAACTTCAGTCTATTAAACCGAGTATAGGTTACTGGCTGTCTTCTTGTCACCAGTGTCGAGGTTGGGGGACTACTCTCTCCCGTCTTTGCATTGGCCATACTCATCTTACTCATGGATATCTCATGGAGAGGTGCCCTGCTCCTCTCTGTGAGAATTGTCAGGTTCCATTATCAGTTAGCCACATTCTATTAGACTGCCCACTTTATCAACGAACATGCTGAATATACCTCCGTCGTTGTCTTCGCTCCGCTGCTCTCTCTTTACCTTCCCTTCTCGCTGATGGACCCACCTTTCATCCGGACTCTCTCATTGACTTTTTGACAACAACTGACTTGCTTCACAAACTCTGATGATACCTTCAGCCCTTTCTACCTCAATCTCTTGCTGCCTTCTACCCCCACACTATCCCCTGCCCCGCTGTTTTCTGTAACCTACTGATCGTCCCTTCCCCCTTCTGCCGCCCAATACCCTTGCTTCCTTCCCTACCCTGCAGCGCTGTATAGCCCTTGTGGCTTAGTGCTTCTTTCTGATTATAATAATAATAATACAAGCACAAGGTATACAGGCCTAGATGACATCAATGACATACTACTATAGAGAAAGCCCTTAGTTATGCAGAGCATTTCTGGCAAATTATGTCAATTTTGTCCCAGGATGTGACCCACACCAGTCTACTAACACCTAAGTATCTATTTTACTGATGGGTAAACACCGGACAGCAGGTGTTTTATGGAAACACGTCCTAATGTTTTCCAGCCGTACTTGGGATCGACCCGCGGACCTCAGTATGTGAGCCGAGTGTGCTAGCAATCGAGCTACAGAATACCCTGGGATACTAATCCTCTCAAAAAATTCCTGGGCACAAAGTATGTACTGTTGAAGAAGACAACTTACACCCTGATAAAGTCCAGTCAGCTTGTCATCCATGAGCAGCTCGGGAGGATAGGCAATGTGTGGGGTGATAGCCCTGGCTTTCTCCATAGCTCTCACTCGTGTAGCTTCGTCCATCCAGTCAAGGCTCATGATAATGTTATCAAACTCTGCTCGAATGTACCTGACCATCTCGTCAGCAGCAGCCTTAGCATCCTCCTTGAAGAAGGCACGAGCATACATGGATCCCACTGCATGTGCCAAGCTGAAAAATACCAAGGCTAACTAACATAACATCTTATAAAGCTATTGGGCTGTCTGATTCTTGTAGGTTTAACACTTCTTGATTATAATAATTATAAAGCTGTTTTATATTGTATGATTTTTTTAAAAAATGCAATTGAAAAATTTCATAAAAAATGAATAGCAATAGTATTATCAAGGCCTTTTCCAGTACTATTTAAACATGCACTTTTTCAATCTCATTACCAAAAAACTTGCACTAAATGGAGGAGCGGTGTAAGAGCTTACCGTAGGCATTAGTACATCATCATACACTTATACAGTAGCTGTAAAACAAACACTAAGTTTCCCCTAAGTGAGTAACTTATAAACTCAATTGTGTGATTGAAAATTATTATACCCAGAGATCTGTTGGGTTTACCACTATTTTTCATGGTTTAGTGAAAATATCAAGTTAAAATTATTAAGTACCAACCACAGTACTTACTACTATTGTAATCTATATATGTATATGGCTGTATGCAACATCCTTACCTCTCCTTACAGGTCCAGTATTAGATTGGTGTAATTTTTTTTTTTTTTGTAACCACAGTATCTATTTCCCACCATGGTAGAGTGTACCAAAGAAGGAAACTCTCACCTTTACTCACCAGCTCTCTTGCAAGACATTCACAGAAATCACAATTCAGATGGAACCTGTGGACATCATCACTGTCCATCCTTCAGAGTGAAGCTACTGCACTCCCCTCTTCCAGAACTTAAGTCCAGGTTGTATTAAAACAACAACTTTCAACAAACTGGCCATATCCCAACAAGGCAGGGTGACTCAAAAAGAAAAACAAAAGTTTCTCTTTTTAACTTCAGTAATATATACAGGAGAAGGGGTTACTATCCCCTTGCTCCCGGCATGTTAGTTGCCTCTTATGACACGCATGGCTTATGGAGGAAGAATTCTGTTCCACTTCCTCATGGAGATAAGAATATACACAAGAACTTGTAAGAAAATAGAAGAAAACCCTGAGGGGTGTGTATATATATGATTGTACATGCATGTACAGTGTGACCTAAGTACGTAGAAGTAGCAAGACATACTTGAAATTTTGCATGTTTACCTGGAGAGAGTTCCGGGGGTCAACGCCCCCGCGGCCCAGTCTGTGACCAGTCCTCATGGTGGATCAGAGCCTGATCAACCAGGCTGTTACTGCTGGCTACATGCAATCCAACGTGCATTTACGAGACAAAAAAGACACCAGCAATCCTACCATCACATAAACAATTACAGGCAGGATGGTAGTACCTCCCTGGGTGGTTGCTGTCTACCAACCTACTACCTAAGTGTATTAAAACTATTTCAAATTATATGTTGGACAGTTCTCCTTTTTCTATCATGAACTAACAGAACAGTTGAAACTTCCAGTAAATGGGTGCATTTCACTTAAACTAACCTTCCAGACACTGAGCCCATGCATTCCTTCCAGCGAGGCTCCCTGGTGCCTTTGCCCACTAGTTTCTTGGAGTACTCCAGCTGTATGTCCCGGGCATCTTCAGAGAGGTATCCCACAGAAGCTGCAGTCACTCGCCACAGCAAGTAGTTGGATATTACTCTGTAATACATTATTATTGCTAATCAAAGCTATTATTGCTGTTCCACTGGCCATGTGCTGCTGTGGCCATATCAAGTGACTATTTACAACAAATATTAAAAGATATTTTGGGCTGTCATGGCCCATTTATTAATTTGTTACATTGTGATCTGATAAATGGTTCAGGATAAATCAAAATGTCAAATTTTATCTTAGAATTATGGGTTAGTTGTGAATTGTTCCAATTACAATATTTTTCCTTTTTTTCAGGTGACTATGCTACACAAAGCTCCACATCTTTCATATTTCTAATTTGAGAAAAAATATGCCAAATCTATTAGAACTTGTGTATATTCAAATTATTTTCACATCTTTACAAAACTGAGAGACTGATGTGTATGTCATAGTATTTATGTGAAAAATAGTGAAATAAAAATATTACTGCAAATTAGGACACTGAATTCAATGTCACATAATCCAGTTACACCATGATGAACACAACCACTTGGTAATTACATTCTCTGAAAGTGGTAGAGTACATAGCTGCTATGAACTATGGTTCCAGTGATAAATTAAGTGAGAGATAACAGAGATATGAATATCACTTGTTTTGAAGGCTTGTTCAGTCCCATATGTTTGTTCTAGATTTATGATTTTGAAGTTACAAAGATGAAAACAATTGCCAATTGCAGTGTCTGTTGGCTGAATAGTTTCAAATATTAGTCCTGTAGGTACTGAAGGTACAGACCTACAGACTGTTTCAGTTGTAACTGTTGTCCAATTGATTATGATACGAGTGGAAGAAACCACTAAGAATTACCACTGAAAAATACACTTGGTACTTTCTAAAACTAGTTATACAAGGACACAAGGTGGAATGGGCAAGCAAGTAGAACCTGAATATCAGTCCAGTGGGCCTACTACTATGCTCGCCTATTTCGTAAAGGTCACTTACCTCTTGGGGGTTCTAGTGAGGAGTTTACCAAGGTTCTTCACAAAGTTGGGCACATTCACCACGACAGGCTCATCAATGGTCACCTGTAAACAGTTTATTATTAAGATAAAATTTTGTTTGGATTTTTAACCCCGGAGTGTTAGCCACCCAGGATAACCCAAGAAAGTCAGTGCATCATCGAGGACTAACTTATTTCCATTGGGGTCCTTAATCTTGTCCCCCAGGATGCGCCCCACACCAGTCGACTAACACCCAGGTACCTATTTGCTGCTAGGTGAACAGGACAACAGGTGTAAGGAAACGTGTCGAAATGTTTCCACCCACCGGGAATCGAACCCGGGCCCTCTGTGTGTGAAGCGGGAGCTTTAGTCACCAGGCCTGGTGGCCCGGTGGCCACAAGGTATACAGACCTAGTTGACATCAATAACATACTACTGCATAGAAAGCCCCATGTTATGCAGAGCATTTCGGACAAATTAGGTCAGTTTTGTCTGAGGATGCAACCCACACCTGTCGACTAACACCCAAGTACCCATTTTACTGATGGGTGAACATAGACAACAGGTATAAGGAAACATGCTCAATGTTTCTACCCTTGTCGGGAATCGAACCCGGACCCTCACCATGTGAAGCGAGAGCTTTAGCCACCAGGCCACGGGCCACTGTAAGTACATGTACTCAACACCTGGCTACCTCAGTATTATTATATCTTAGGGATGTGCTAAACCCATAGGGGTCACATAACACCTGGGGAATGAGACGCAATTATACCCAACAAGTGGAAAACAGATCCAATTCCTTGCATCAAGATCCCCTCCCTGGCATCAAGGAATGCGTCTTGAACAGGTCACATGGGTACCTCAAACATTGCTGGCATAACATGAGAAGTCTTGTACAAAGTAATGAAATGTACTCTGCAAAAGAGCAGAATTAATACTGATGATTTAAACATACATACATGGAATCAAATTAAGTTGTAATAAATAACTCAATGAATAAACAGAAGGGTGGGCCAAGGGAAGGAGTTTGGTTTGGTTCCAGTTGGTGCCACTGATGTAATGTAATACAGTACATGTATTATTTCTGATTTCTTCCTATTAGAGGCCTGGACAGCTGGAACTGTCAATTTGCAGGCCGCAGTTAGTGACCCCCCCTCCCCCTGTTCACCCTTCTGTGTATTCAGACACATACATATTAAAATTTATGAAAATTTTTCCTGGAAAGGGTAATAAACACCAGGGAGCATTTGAGAAGTTTGAAACAAAGCTACTACTATCACCACCACCTTGGAAAATCCCTACAACATTGTAGATTATTACCAACACAAAAGATAAAATAGCATTTGCCCTACTGTAATAAAAGTTATGTTCATCAAGTTGGTAGTTCATCATTTTTCAGTTATAACTTCAACAGAGCTCCACAGCAATGATTTCTTTTTTGCAACCTTAAAATCCAGGACCACAAAACTTGACAACAATGACCATTTTTACAAATGACCTTCACAAGAGCCAGGAACACTCCACAAAGGTGGTAATCATTCTGACACAAACTTCTGTAAACCACCAGAAAATCTACCAACTGGATACATCAGCAATGTGCTGCCATCTGATTCAACATGACAGTTAAATGGTTTATAACATAGGATGTTCCATTACACAGGATGGGTTACATACGTGGTGTTGAAATGGTTGAAAGGCTGTGTCAAGAGCACTGCTGGAATGAGAGCAGAATATCACTACAACAGTGACCCTGTTTACTCGTACCCTCGTCCAGCTCTTATAATGTGTTGCTGCACTTTCGCTCAAGTTATCCATAATATAAGAAGTAGCTGAATCAACTGTTTTAAACGTAGTGTGGAAAAAGGAAGGGAACGTGGAGAAAGAGGAAGTAACGAGTAATAAGTACTGAGGAACAAAAGGGAGAAAGGAGGAGAGTGAAGATGAGAGAGGATGAACAAGAAACTATAATATTTTAAAGTCAACCATATCAGGCCTTTCTGGTAAAAGAAGGCATCATCAGTACCAAATAAAGTATATGCCTAATGTGTACTGGTTTGATGAAGCAAAATTTATACAGCGAGGTACTGAAAGTTTTCAACCTGTCAAACACTGCCATACACCCATCACACTGCTAGACATCCGTCAATCACCCGTCACTATCATACACTCATCAAACACTGCCATACACCCATCACACTGCTGTACATCCATTCAACACCTGCCATACACCCATCAAACACTGCTATACGTAAGTATATTCAGGTACAGGTATACAAATATAGTTACATAAATTATCATATATAACGGCATATGTGTAGATTATCTAGGATAACCCAAAAAAGTCGGTGATTTATTTCCAATGGAGTCCTTGTCACCCATCAAATACTGCCATACACCCGTCATTCATACACTCGTCACTAACTTTCAATAATCACAGTTACACAAGGTCTTTTTTCTGTGCCCAAACTGCTCTGCAAAAGCACTGTCCTTTTACACTTATAGTGATGGGGAAGCGCTAAACCCACTGGAACTTACACAATACCCGAATAATCAGGTTCAACCCAAGAGAAGGTAGTTCCAATTCTTGGGACCAAGAGCCCTTGCTCGGCATTAAGGTAGCCCCCTTTCGCCCTTAAAGTGTGGGATTTTCAAAGCAGAAATTTTAGTTATCTACTCGTGCGGATTTAGTGCTTAGTTATAAAAATATCCAGTCATGCAACAATCAAGTAGTTATAAGAAAATATATTTATTATCGACTGAGTATTTTAGTAAATTTAAATAAAATTATAAGAAGCGCAAATGAATAATTTGGTTGGGTCTGTAATTACTGTGAGAGCTTATCCAGGGTCAACCTGTCAATATATGTATCAATAATGAGATATTAGTTTATACACACAATATGTCAAGTTTAACTCCACACCCACTTAAACATGTGTTGATGTAAGTTCATGTATATGTTTTATACTAGTGTAATAGTAATAGCAGTAGTAACAGTAGTAGTAATGGTGGTAGTAATAATAGCAGTAATAATAATAGCAACAGTAGTCGTAGTAGGTCTGGAGTTTTGAGACTCGGATCGCGGGTTCAAACCCCACTTGTGGTATGGTTTAAATTAAATAAAAATAAAATAAAAATTTGGGCTTTCAGAATTCCTAAGTGCTTGTTTTTTCTCGTGTAACTGACAATGGCTGACAACAAATATATCTGAGATAATCATAAGGTATATTAAGGAGAGACTATACGAGCGTCACAGATAAGATAAGATAAGATTTCGTTCGGATTTTTAACCCCGGAGGGTTAGCCACCCAGGATAACCCAAGAAAGTCAGTGCGTCATCGAGGACTGTCTAACTTATTTCCATTGGGGTCCTTAATCTTGTCCCCCAGGATGCGACCCACACCAGTCGACTAACACCCAGGTACCTATTTGCTGCTAGGTGAACAGGACAACAGGTGTAAGGAAACGTGTCGAATGTTTCCACCCGCCGGGAATCGAACCCGGGCCCTCCGTGTGTGAAGCGGGAGCTTTAGCCACCAGGCCACCGGGCCACGATAATATAATCTAGGAAAGAGACGATGTAAGTTTATTCACGTACACAAAAAATTACACAAATTATCATACATAGCAGCATATAGTATGTAGAATGTCTGGGATAACCCACAAAAGAAGTCAAAGTGACTTATTTTGATTGGGGTCCTTGGTTAGGCTTGGTCTGAAAGGGCTCGCAGCAATTCTTAAAAACAGTCCTCATTCTAACTTACAAGGTATTATCATGTCCACAAGATGACTGGGCTCTTTAAACTTAATATTGTTGAATTAATACTTTAAATTCAATTATTGCCTTGACAGGTGAGCCACTGCAACTCATGCAAGTTGTGGAAACAAAGATGGGAGCAAAAAATACCAGTTTAATTGAAAGGTTCAGTACAGACAAGTATTAAATAAACACAACTGGAAATATCAGTTCGAGAGGAAATCAACATCTGTGTAGAGATTACGAAAGATTTAACTATCTGATAAACACCTAAGTCTGACTGTTCTCGTACATGATTAATAAACAATACCAACAAGAGGAGGAATTAGATGTGTGCAACATCTGGGTATCTTTTGTAGATGTTTCGCCATCCAGTGGCTTTATCAGTCCTTCAGATGAGGGACTGATTACCTCATCTTTTCTATATATTTCTGTCTTCCAATTATGTCATTGAATTTGTACTGATAAAGCTACTGGTTGGCGAAACGTCTACAATGAAGATACCTAAATGTTGTACATGTGTCTAATTCTTCATCTTACTAATCTCAGGCTGCAAAATGACAGTACTACAAAGGCACCAGAACCTCCTATATATATATATATATATATATATATATATATATATATATATATATATATATATATATATATATATATATATATATATATATATATATATATATATTCCCCTGAGATTTTCCCTGGTAATCATAATCGGCCTTTTTTTCCTTTTTTTTTTTTTATTCGCCGGTACTCTCCCGGCCCGGGTCTTTTCCGAGAGTGGTTACCCGGCCTTGGCTCCCTAACTGGGGAGTATTTTCCTTCAGTTTGTTTTCTATTTTTCATCCAAGTCTGAACATCCAACAAAAGAAAACAAACACTTTTTTACCTTGCGCATTCAAAAATCCGAAAGTCGATCATGGTATCATCAGCATCCTACAGTGAGGCTAAACTATTAACAGTAAACAATACTGGACCAAGAAAAGAGCCCTCAGGAACACCATAGCGAAAATAAGATGGTGCACACAAACAATATGGTTCCGGGTCATGTACTACACATGTATATATCATATACTTTTAACAATCAGTTTAAAAAAATAAACAGCAAAAAGAATAAAACAATTGTATTATGGCAATCCAATTTTGCAATTACAGTATGTAGAACTAAGTGTAACTGCTTGAAAAATATGACATTAAGTGTGTAAACGACACCAAACGAAGGATGACTGATCACTATATACAACTGTACACTTCTGTAGTATATGGGAACTACCATAACTATAATTCTCATACAGTGGCTGTGAAATGGGATGGGGGGGGGGGTCGGTTGGGCCATGAAAGACAGAAAATAAGAATGACACTAGCATTAAGGTACTAGCACTGATAGTAGTATTTACAACATATACTAAGTACTTTGACCGTGTAGGTCACAACTATAAAAATATATATATGCAACACAATAAAAGGGGGATAAAATAAACAAAATACGATCAAATGAATACTAGGTGGTTGTGTGATCAAAAACTTACAGTGAAGAAAGGTTGGAGTACTGTATTGATGTACTCCAGCCAGGGGATCTCAGGAACCATCTCCTGCAGCTGTCCAATGGTCATCTTGTTGTAGAGTTTGGTGGCGTTCCTTCTCTCTTCCTTGGGCAGCGAGTACTGTAATCAACGCCACACAAATTATATACAGGGATATTATTTTTCTAGTGGGAAGGACTGTATTAGCTTTTACAAATTAACTATTGGGGTTGGTAATCACCATGATAATGTGTAATGAATGGTACGAGGATGCCTATTATTTTATATTCATAGGAAGTATTAAAAAATTTAGGAATCGTTAAGTGACCGGGGAATATAAAGTAATCGGGTTTGATCCAATAAGTTCCAATTCACTGGATTAAGGGTCTATCAAGTTACAGGAAGGAAGCTAGTGAGGACGGGCCACGTAATGAAAAAACTGACACTGGCTTCAGTAAGTTTCCGAAAATCGTGCTTGAAATATTTATATCAAGCGTATAAAACATTTGTGCATGAAGAGTATAACACACATCTCTTCAACTTTTGTATTTGTAATTAGTACGTTAAACAATAAGCATTAGTAATTATAATTTTATACTATAGCAATTCTGCAATCTCATTTTACCCAGACTAACTCAAATAAGCATAGGTGAAAGCTTTCTTACATTAGCAATCTGAATTTCAAACTCCAGAGATTCTTTAATTTCATCTTCAGCCCTGATTCTGTCAGCTCCCAGGAGTACAGCCATGTTGACCTGGTAATTGTAGTAGGCCTGCACGTCACTGTCATTAAAGCCCTTCAGTAGGTACTTCCGTGAGGGCATCCCCAGGGGAGGCTGGTCAATCTGCAATCACAGAGACTTGAAACATTTTATCAATATCATAAGGATAAAAATTGTTTTAACAAGGAGTTATTAGGGCTGTACACCAGCCTGTTCCATGATGGTACATTCCCACACCCAACCAGAGGCTTCATTAATACAAATTCAAGGACATAATTGGTAGACAGTAGAACTATATACAGAAAATGAGGTTATCAGTTCCTCAGCCTTGGAGTTAGTGCTTTTCCTCACCAGTATTAAGACATAAGAAAGAAGGAACACTGCAGCAGGCCTACTGGCCCATGCGAGGCAGGTCCAATTCTCCTACCGGCTTAAGCGAACGCCCTAACCTCGTCAGTTCAGGTCACATTCACTTAAGGAAGGAGCACGGCATCTGACCTAGTAGCACAAGCTAGTCAGGTCCAACTCACACCCACCTACACCCACTCATGTATTTACCCAACCTATTTTTAAAACTATACAACGTCTTAGCTTCTATGACGGTACTCGGGAGTTTGTTCCACTCATCCACAACTTTATTACCAAATCAGTGCTTTCCTATATCCTTCCCGAATCTTAATTTTTCCAACTTAAAGACATTGCTGGGAGTCCTGTCTAGGCTAGATATTTTTAGCATGCTATTTACATCCCCTTTATTTATTTCTGTTTCCCATTTATACACCACAATCATATCCCCCCCTAATTCTACGCATTTCTAGAGTGTGCAGATTCAGGGCCCTCAGTCTATCCTCATAGGGATACATGGAATCAACTTTGTCATCCTCCTTTGTACATTTTCCCCCCTCAAGGAAGGTTCCTTGATGTTGGTGAGGGGCTCTTGATTTAGGGAATTGGATCTGTGCTCCAGTTCCCCGAATTATGCCTGAATGCCTTCCACATCCCCCCCCCTCCCAGGCGCTGTATAATCCTCCGGGTTTAGCGCTTCCCCTTGATTATAATAATAATAATGTACATTTTCCAGTGCATTTATATCCATTCTGTAATATGGTGACCAGAACTGTGCAGCATAATCTAAATGAGGCCTAACCAAAGATATGTAGAGTTGAAGAACAACCTGAGGACTTCTATTATTTATACTTCTTGATATGAAGCCAAAAATTCTGTTAGCTTTATTGCGAACACTTACGCACTGTTGTCTTGGTTTCAGGTTACTGTTAACCAGAACTCCTAAATCCTTTTCGCAATCATTAGTATTAAGATCTACATTATTTAGTTTATATGTGGCATGGTTATTTTCCTATCCAACACATAGAACTTTGCATTTGTCTATATTAAACTGCATCTGCCACTCCTCCGACCATTGCAACAGTCTATCCAAATCATCCTGGAGTGCTTAGTGTTCTCATTAGAATGAACTGGAAGGCCTATTTTGGTGTCATCAGCAAATTTGCTTATGTTATTTATTCCCTCATCTATGTCATTTATCTAAATTGTGAACAAGAGGCCCTGTACACTGATCCCCGTGGAACACCGCTTGTGACGTGCCCCCATTTGTCAATCATGCCTCTACCCAGAAAAATATTTCTCCTATTCTGTGTGCCTTGTTTCCTCAACAGCTTCTGATGTGGAACTCTATCAAAAGCTTTACTGAAGTCCATATACACAATATCATATTCAATACCATGATCTACCTCTTCAAATACCTTAGTGAAAAAAGTTAGTAAAACCGTGCTGAGATTCATTAATCAATTTATGCCTTTCAAGATGGCTACGAATTGCCTCGGCAATTGATTCCATAAATTTTCCCGCTATGGTGGTAAGGCTTACTGGTCTATAGTTCGAAGCTAAGGACCTGTCACCTGCCTTGTAATTAGGTATTACTTTTGCCATTTTCCACTTATCAGGCACTATGCCAGTTTGTAGTGATATATTGAAAAGATTAGCCAAAGGTATGTAGCGTTCCTCTTTACATTCCTTTAACACCGTTGCAAATTGTTCATCAGGGCCTGGGGAATTATCAGGTTTTAATTTCTTTATTTGTCTGAGGACCATATCACCCGTTACCCCAATCGTGCATAGTTTATTGTCGTCCTGTTCTACATAATTTATTATTTCTGGAGACAAGAATGGGTCATAAACCAAGTTCCACCAACATTCAAGATGCAATTCTTAAGGATTTTTTTTTTATCCGCCGGTACTCTCCCGGCCCGGGTCTTTTCCAATAGTGGTGACCCGGCCTTGGCTCCCTATCTGGGGAGTATCTCGAGACCTAAGTCTCCCATGGGAGGAGGTACAAGTACCCCCTCATCTTTGGGACCAAGTATCCCCAGGCCTAGCCACAGTCGCCGCCCTCACGGGGCTGGTAGGGAGAAGCTAGGCCTCTGGTCTGCCATCTGCCCCGCCCCAAAGGGGCTCGTGGGGATGGCAGTCTTTTCATCTTAAGGATTTATTATTAAAGATTCGCTGGTATTCTCCCGGCCCGGGCATTATCTAAGTGGTGGTCCGGCCTTGGCTCCCTGCCTATGGAGTGTCTGAGGCCTAAGTCTCCCATGTGAGGAGGCACAAGTACCCCCTCATCTTTGGGAAGGATTTAAACATTATGCCACCCATAGTTATGTTATATTTCAAGATGTTTCAGTCCTGGAAGCTTATATGTAAAGGAATGCTAATCGTTTAAAAAAAATATTTTCCTGTGCTAGGATACAGAGTATGTTTAATTTAAGTTTTTATAAATTACAATTTGCCTTGAGATGAATTATATTAAAGTTGAGCTATTAAACAGCTAACAAGTGCCTGGACGATTTGGATATTAACGCAATATTTTGAGAGGGGAATAAGTCTCAAGAGAAGACCTACCCCCCACCTCTCTCCCATCAGAGTAAAACAGTTAACATAACAAAAATTTCATTATTGTTCAAGTGTTTTCCTTGGGACAAACTTCCATGTGATTTTTAATATTTACGTCAATGATCCTCCAGGAAGAGTTCTTGATGTCGGTGGTGACTGAGAAGTCGAAGATGTAGTCCAGAGAGTAGCCCAACTTGCGGTTGATGTAGATGTTAGTGTTCCACTGGAAGCCGGAAGGATCCCATGCATCACCCTCCAGCACTGGCCATCCTCCCATCTCCTTCAGTATCTCCTTCAGAGGCTCCAGTCCTCGCTCCTTGATGCGAGCTGTAACAGAATAACATCATCGTGAGGAAGCACTACACTTGTAACGGGTCGTGTATAACCTGAGGCTTCATACAAGCTACCTCCATTTCCACAGGATCAAGAGCTTTTACTGACTTAAAGGCATCCCCTTGAAGGATATTATTATTATTATAATCAAAAAGAAGCGCTAAGCCACAAGGGTAAATATTAACAACAGTAAATTCAATTAAATATAATTTCACAGTCGCCCACCAGAGGCTCTTGTGCAATCAGAGGATTCACAATTACTCCACAATTCAAGTCTTGATAAATGTCAAGATAGACCAAGTTTTTTCTAAATTGTGGACCAGTTTAAAATTGTTTCACAGCATTTTGACATTGCTGCATTATTCTTTTTCTCTCTCAAATATCCAAGAGTGTTACCAGATATAAAATATAAATCAGGAGTATATAATGTTTCCTGTTTTTGACATTTTAAAATCTTATATAAATTTAAGAGGTCTTTCATGTCCTTCTCCAGTTCTGGTCAAGATCAAAATAGTTTTATTTTATGATAGCGGGGATCATAATGAGGTGTTTCCCCCATTTTTTCTGGCTACAACTCATTATACAATTACAGTAATCAGCAGAACATCATTATACAAACTGTGAAAAGCAACTGGTCTACTATACTTCCAAGTCTCTCTCGCTATGTGATGTCCTAATTCTAATGGTGATGATGTATAGATTTCTGTCGTTATTATTTGCAGTCGGCATCGTTCGCAAAGCACTTTGATTATTCTTATTAAGTCTACATGACCTAAGTGAGCTTAGTACAAAATGCAAGGGCTGGAACACATTACAGCATAAAACACTAATTACTTCCATGTCCCTCCATACTCGTATACCCCCTCTGTGCTACCTCTGTACTCATGTACTACCATTGTATCCCCTTGTATTTAAAAAAAAAAAAAAAACTCACGTTCCTTGTATTTCCGTGCACTACTACTACATACTGTACTCCCCATGTACTACTAACCTGTATCCATGCAGGACTTGTAGAGAGCCTTGACCATCTTAGTGGAAGGGGAGTCATCCTGGGACTCTTCAGCTTCCACTAGACCCCTGAGTTTCTCTTGCAGCTCGTCAGAGATCTCGTTGAAGCGGGACAGAGCTGTCTTCTCATCAGGGATGATCGTAGACTTCAAGAAACCACCACACGAAAACTTGAAGAAGTCGTCGCAAGGATTCACACTTTCATCCATGGACTTCACCAGATTGGCGGCTGTTTTAAACAAGATAAATTGTACCGCACGAAATAAAATAACACTAGAGCCGTGTGGAAATGTCATACATGACAATATTTCGGCTTCATATACAAGCTTCAAAAGTATTGTATATCAAGCGAAGCTTATTTCATACTTTTATTAAATATTAATATAAATAAATGTACAATGTATTAACAGTAAATGCTTTATTACAGGCAGGTTGCTGATGTCACACACACTTTGCTTAATATTTTACCAAAAAGTTTCTTACAGCTATTAAACTGGCCTCTCGTTTCTTTTTTTTTTTTTTTTTTTTTTTGAGTAAGACGCACTGGCCTTGATGCAGTCCAAGGAGAGACTTACATTAACTCCTTGAATTGCCCAAGCGCTGATTACTGTACTTAAACTTGTATTGACACATCAATAGTTGATAACTGCTGAAGCACTTACCATTATTATTATTATAATCAAAAAGAAGCGCTAAGCCATGAAGCACTTACCAGCCTTAACACATCAATGGTTGGTGATCAAGCACTTACCACCCTTAACATCAATGGTTGATGATTGTTGAAGCACTTACCAGCCTTAACACATCAATGGTTGGTGATCAAGCACTTACCAGCCTTGACATCAATGGTTGACGATTGTTGAAGCACTTACCAGCCTTGACACATCCCTGGGTGAGACAGACGTCGTTGGGGTGCTCGGAGAAGGTAGTTGGCGTCGGACAACCAATTAGCGGCGCTGCTGAGATAACGGGCAGCAATGAGGCGTCTGATGGTAGGTTAAAAGAAGAGAAAAAAGGCGTGCTGTTAGGTGCAGCGGACGACGACAGGGCGTGCAGCAGGGAGAGGAGCAGCAGCAGCAGCAACGACACACTACACATGCCACGACCAGTGAGCAACTCACAAGTTTTACCTCAATTATTTCAGTAATTTGGGACGAAGAAAATGGTAGTGATTGACTTGGCTTGATCCCCCTATTGAGTGTTCTGTGAAGGACGGTAGTGGTGGTTGTTAATGTTTAATACTAACATAGGTACAAAGTACTGTGGTACCTCGAGTTACGAGCTTAACTCGAGGTACCACAGGTATGAACCTTGGTAATTGGCACAGACAAATTGGTTTAAAAGCGACACGTGAACAAACACCAGGACGTATTTATTAAAAAACGTTTTGGTCCTGGGACCGTGATCACTTTATCAGAAGTAATCAAGGTCCCAGTACCGAGACGCTTTTTAATATGTATTTCCTAGTGTTTGCTCACATGTTTGTTTTAAATTAATAAAGTACTAGTCATGTAATTTTTTTATAACATCGGATAATGTATTTGTAAATGTAAATTGCGTCTGTAGTCCTCGTGGAAGGTCATTCACATAGTGTAGTTCTCTTGTGTGTGTTTGAAATGGGTGATCTGTAGTTCTATCGTACCTATTAATAAAGCTGCGTATGGAGTCTTGACTCTACTGCATTCAGGTCATCCCACTAACCTCTTTGAGGATGATAAATATTGATATCCCTGTGGCTTATCTCTCTTAAATTTCACCTTCAAAACTGTACCCTCTTGTACTCGTTTTCTGCTTCTTGGAACGTCTTTGCTTATCCAACTTGTCAAATCTTTAGAATGCTTTAAGTCATTATCACATCTTACCCAAACCTTGTCTACTCTTGTCATCAAGTTCAGTTCTTTTAGTCTCTTCATAGGCAATTACTCAACTCCAGTACTAGTCTCGCTGCTAACTTTTGTTCTTAATATAACGCTTTTAAATGTTTGTGGGTTACATGCTAGTGATGATTAACTTATGTGACTGGCATATGTTGTATAGTGTTCACGAATGACAAAGTTTGTCTAAGGCTCACCAGTGCAGGCATCAACCTGATGCACAAGTTACCAGGTTGATGACTGCAGTCTGTGATGTGTTTACCTGAGCAAGCTTGTACACCTGTATGCTCGAGTTTTTGTATGTGTTCGTGTGCTGCTGTACTCTCCTATATGAGTGTACTTATGTGTCCTGACAGCAGATAATTAGCATGTGCTTACGTGTGTGAGGTGTCAAGCCTGGAGGGAGGGGGGTCAAGCTAGGCCAAGTATTTAACTGTCAATCCATGTCGTAGGAATGGCTGTTTGACCAAAGATGAGTAGACAAGTCTACTGCTGTCACACACAGTCCATGTTATGTCTTTCATGTGAGTAAAAGTTGCAAGTCGTGGATCTTGATGGCGTCACACAGTGACTGGTCATAGTGTAGTGTGACAGGGAGGGTAGTCAGTCAGTCTCCGTAATATTACGCATTGTGCGAGTATTTCACAGGAAAGGGGGAAAGAGTTTTCCCGGAGGAAAAAAAACACTAGGCCTATTATCAGTTTACACAGGAAACAATGGGCCTAAGCTGATAGACCCACACAGGAAACAATGGGCCTAAGCTGATAGGCCCACACAGGAAACCATGAGCCTACACTGATAATACTAAGCAAATAATGTGGTAAAGATTACAAAATAAACTAAAGTTATGGACTTTTTTGAAAGATCATCTCTTCAGTGAGTGCCTCAGTCTGGGTGTCTGCCCAGTGTGAGAGCTCATGGACAATATGATACACAAGTTCACTAATATTAAAGCAGCGGGAGTAACGCTATCTACGGGTGTACAAACACTGCAGCAAGACGATATGATTGTCATGCCACTTTAGCCAAGAATGAAACTCTTGTGTAACATTTGCGAATCTTTTTTGACGAAACGATTCGCCAGCCAATACCCTCTCCAGTCCAATGCAGAGAAAGGTGGAAGATTAGTTTGAGGCAATCAGTCCCACAGCCTGGAGTTGATGTGTTCACTCCATCAAGACTGAACACATCAACTCCAGGCAGAGGGACTGATTACCTCAAACAATTCATCTGTACTGGACTGAAGAAGTCAATGGCTGGCAAAATGTTTCCTCAATAATAATTCCCAAATCTTAAGCAAGTGTCTCAATCTTCAACTTGACGGTTCTCTAAACCAGCTATATCAAGAAAGGTCAAGATAGTGTCCCGGAGACAGCACTAGGAAACAAAGTTAGCGCTAAACGTGAGCAAATGCCAAATATAACTATCGTAATAGATGTGCTGTGGCGGGGTAAGACCTGGAATGTTTCCTATTTACCAGGATATGGTTTAGTTTCCTCTAGGCTGGGCAATCCCCTAGTGGGAAAATCTTACCTCCTCTTTCCTCAATTCCTGTGGTTCTTAAAGAGCCAAGTGATCATACCGACTGTCTTCACTGCCCTGTCAGTCTCGTTCTACTGTTGTTGTCTTCCACTCTCCTTAAATAATCACATTACGAAACCAAGTAAAACTTTATTAAAGTCTACCCTAAACCATCACATTACGTCAGCAGTAAATAATTTCCTTAAATAACCTGAAGCAACCAAATACATATACGTATATATATATATATATATATATATATATATATATATAACACAGAAATGGTTATAACTATGATCATAATTTTTAAAGAGGTGGACCGGTAAGCCTGCAGAAGGCTTCTGTCAGATGACCAGAAGCTCCAACGACGGGTCATCATCCAAGACTCAAGTCAGGAAACACTTGTCCTGCTTCCTGACACACCTTACCTAACCTAACCAAATATACACAGAACATACAGTGTATATACACACCGAAAGATGTATTTCTATACATGACGAGACTAATTCCTACTGTAGAGATGACAGTTTTCCTGTCCGGTGGTGTAAATGTTACCTGCAGCCTTAATAACCTTAATCTAGTCGATAAGCTTTAAACCTCCATAAACCAAACAACCAATGTTTGACTTGACCTTCCAGTAGAAGTACATATTAAAAGTCAAAGTTTACACCCACAGGTTACACTGACTGAGGTGATCAAGGCTGTAGTCGTGACCCTGGAGATCTTACATTAATTCACAGCGACACTTTACTAAAACTGGTAACAAATGTCCTTGAACAATAATTCTCTCAAACACACACACTGTCATGTGTACGTGTGGAGACTCTTGCTACATCTCCACTCATCAACCAATAATCTAAAAAAAAAAGCTGTCACTAAGTCTTAAAATAATGATATAGGTTAAGCATTCGCAGGTGTTTGAAGGAACCTAGTGGGGACACTTGTTGGAACCTAGTGGGGACAATTGCTGGAACCTAGTGGGGACACTTGCTGGAACCTAGCGGGGATACTTGTTGGAACCTAGTGGGGACACTTGCTGGAACCTAGTGGGGGCACTTGTTGGAACCTAGTGGGGACACTTGTTGGAACCTAGCAGGGATACTTGTTGGAACCTAGTGGGGACACTTGTTGGAACCTAGCAGGGACACTTGTTGGAACCTAGTGGGGACACTTGTTGGAACCTAGCGGGGATACTTGTTGGAACCTAGTGGGGACACTTGTTGGACTAGTGGGGACCTGTTGGGGACACTTGTTGGAACCTAGCGGGGACACTTGTTGGAACCTAGTGGGGACACTTGTTGGAACCTAGTGGGGACACTTGTTGGAACCTAGTGGGGACACTTGTTGGAACCTAGTGGGGACACTTGTTGGAACCTAGTGGGGACACTTGCTGGAACCTAGTGGGGACACTTGCTGGAACCTAGTGGGGACACTTGCTGGAACCTAGTGGGGACACTTGCTGGAACCTAGTGGGGACACTTGCTGGAACCTAGTGGGGACACTTGTTGGAACCTAGTGGGGACACTTGCTGGAACCTAGTGGGGACACTTGCTGGAACCTAGTGGGGACACTTGCCGGAACCTAGTGGGGGCACTTGCCGGAACCTAGTGGGGGCACTTGCTGGAACCTAGTGGGGGCACTTGTTGGAACCTAGTGGGGACACTTGCTGGAACCTAGTGGGGACACTTGCTGGAACCTAGTGGGGACACTTGTTGGAACCTAGCGGGGACACTTGTTGGAACCTAGCGGGGACACTTGTTGGAACCTAGCGGGGACACTTGTTGGAACCTAGCGGGGACACTTGTTGGAACCTAGCGGGGACACTTGTTGGAACCTAGCGGGGACACTTGTTGGAACCTAGCGGGGACACTTGTTGGAACCTAGCAGGGACACTTGTTGGAACCTAGCAGGGACACTTGTTGGAACCTAGCAGGGATACTTGTTGGAACCTAGTGGGGACACTTGTTGGAACCTAGTGGGGACACTTGTTGGAACCTAGTGGGGACACTTGTTGGAACCTAGTGGGGACACTTGTTGGAACCTAGCAGGGATACTTGTTGGAACCTAGCGAGGGATACTTGTTGGAACCTAGTGGGGACACTTGTTGGAACCTAGTGGGGACACTTGTTGGAACCTAGTGGGGACACTTGTTGGAACCTAGCAGGGATACTTGTTGGAACCTAGCAGGGATACTTGTTGGAACCTAGTGGGGACACTTGTTGGAACCTAGTGGGGACACTTGTTGGAACCTAGTGGGGACACTTGTTGGAACCTAGTGGGGACACTTGTTGGAACCCAGCAGGGATACTTGTTGGAACCTAGTGGGGACACTTGTTGGAACCTAGCGGGGACACTTGTTGGAACCTAGCGGGGACACTTGTTGGAACCTAGTGGGGACACTTGTTGGAACCTAGTGGGGACACTTGTTGGAACCTAGTGGGGACACTTGTTGGAACCTAGTGGGGACACTTGTTGGAACCTAGTGGGGACACTTGTTGGAACCTAGTGGGGACACTTGTTGGAACTAGTGGGGACACTTGTTGGAACCTAGTGGGGACACTTGTTGGAACCTAGTGGGGACACTTGTTGGA